ACGATTATCTCGACAAGTCTGTTCATGTCAGTATTTTTGTTCTGTTCATATTTGCTGATTGTATTTTATTTGATGAAATTGTAATTTTCAATATGTAAATAAAAATAGAAATATCACTCAGTTGTTCGTTGTTTACTCCCCAATCAATTTTTCTTATTTCCACATTATATGCCTATTAAAATTTATATGTTGAAATCTATCCTATTTTAATGCTACTATTCCCATCACATCTAAATATTTTTCAATATTTTATTCTTCCGTGATATTCTCCCTTCTCCAGCTACATAAATCGTAGATTACACTTCCCCTGGGGCGGTGTTTAATAAATCGTTAACAAGATCCCGGGAGGAAATGGAATGTTGATGGCCTGAGGACTAAGAAAATTACACGGTCCTATTAGATTGGCCCCTATGATTAAAATGGCGTCAAACAAAGTTGATTGTAGCTCAAAGGCTTGCACAAAGCCTCCTTAATAATTAGTTTCCTCCCGCTGTACCCCTGGCTGCCCCTCCCCCAACTCTTTGTTTTAAAGAGCACCTTTTAGACGTTGCAAATCCTGCTAGCTCCTGCTTACTGCAAACAATACTCCCGTTGTCTGTACCTTGGCCATTGTAAATCACTTTGTTTACTGTTCTCAATCCCTCTGATTAGAACTCATTTAACTTATAAATCAAGCTCGTAAACATTTATTTAAAAAGAAAAATTCTCTGAATCTGGTATGATAGATAGATTTTAGTGCTGACCGTTAGTTCATCTTAATATCGATTTTAAAATTTGATAAACATTCAATCATGGGTCGATGTTTTTAGTCCAAATTGTTTCAAAACCCTCAGGAGATCTCACCGAATAATTTAAGATATTAAATTTAAAAATTGATCCAGCCGTTTCCTCAAAAAAAGATTACAAAGCTTTTTGCAAATTGATTAAATTCATTTTATTTAATCACGAGTCCGTATTTTTAGCTTTGAATTGTTTCATATTCCTCGGGGGATCTCACCGAAGAATTTGAGCCAACAAACTTAAAAATCGATCCAGCCGTTCACTCAAAAAAGCCTTGCATAACTTTTAGCGGACAACCCAACATAACCTTCGTGTCGCTTCGCTTAGTCGGGTAATAATCACTTTTTTAACATTTTCATCGGCAACGTTTAAATAAATTTACCTAGTTCAAAGGTTAAATAAACGATTATTTATTTACTAGATTTTTAGAACAATCCACAATAGAGAAGATGTTTGGCTGGCGAAAACATTAATGTTAAGGTAAACTGTAACGACTATGTTTCAAAATAATTAATATCGTAAAATAATATTTAAATTATTTTATTCACTTATAGTTTTCCCCGATTGCGGCAGAATTTATAAGTACTGAAAACAATTTCTAACCCTCAAATTGAATCTTATTGTTCAACCGCTCATATTCGAAAATCGATTTGCTTACGTTCAGCGTTTCTGGGCTATATAATGTTATAATGTTGAAAGCGTTCGATTTAATAAAAAGAAGGCTTTGTGTGTAGATAAATTTATATTCCGCTGGGGTGTGGACAACGAGCGCAGTTTTAGCATTTTTGGCGGGGATAGAATACCGCTGCATCAGCGGGCGTTATCTAAAATTTCATTGGCCCAGAGGCCGGTGTCAACAGAGGGTGGCGCCCAAATAACCAAGCTTCAATATTTAACACGAACCCCTATTGGATGCGGGGATTATACCCTCCTCCCACCTTCTATCCACTAACTCTCCCCCTCCCTCTTCCCCCCGCAGACCGTCCTGCCCTTTGTTTTTTTTCTGCTTTTCAATTTTTGCATGAAAAAAACAGGAGAAGATTAACTGCAGAGGTATAGGAAGATTGTCGCAGTTTGATGAACAAGCTTCTACTGCAAAAAAAAATTAATTATGAAAACTCTGTTAAAAATTCTATTTTCAGTGATTGTTGGTCCCGCCATTGGTTGTGGTTATTTTGCCAATGTCCCCGTTTTGAAACTAAAATTGGATTCGTTCTCTCCGGAACAGCCCTATATTATTTAACTTTATTAAATCAATTAAACTTTTAAAAAAATGAACGGATTATATTTATTTAAAGGCTGATCACATTTGTTAATTTAGCATACAATTTTAGAGGAATAAAACTATTTTGTTATCTTAAACTAATACAAACTACAACCCTTGAAGGTAATACTAGTTAGTGCGATTTAATCATTAAAATGTATTAAGTAAAATAAACATAATATTTAGAAATATATACATACAGCCTAAGAGGCCTCGTCATTTGTCGACAAGACCAAATTTGTCCATTCACAGTGGTAGATAAAAAAGAATTATTATTCTACGAAATTACTTATCTTAACCATATTCATATTTATTGAAAGTTAGTGAAAGCTAGAGATTTCCCTTCCCAAGAAATGTTGTTGCTCTCCTCATCTGAAAAACAGTGTAAGCGAAAGTAGAATTAGGAAAATTATACGTTGTAAAATTGTAATATTATACGTTGTCAGTATAATAGACTTTTGATAGACTTGATAGATTTTGATAGACTTTACAATATCTATATTTTCTATCTAACTATTCCATTTGCAATATCTTAATTTTACTATTTATTTTCATTTCTTATATAACTTCATATTCCTTTTTTCTGTTTTATATTTTATTGTAAGATTACCTTTTTAATGCTTATGTCACCTTTTTTTGATTATGTTTACTTCATCATTCCACACTTTGTAACGGCTATTATTATTTATCTCTTAGTTACTTTAATTTTTTTTACCTACATTATTCATGTTTCTCATACCTTGTTATCTGGTTCTTTTCTTAGCCCTGATGAAGGCCTGAACTTCAGGTCGAAACGTCGGCAAATGTCAAAATAAATATTATCATTTATTTTTGCCTTCTTATTTCTGACTGATCACCCCAACCATTCTTCTCTTCATTATTCATGACAGTCAGCCATTTACCCACAATTAGAAAAATTGTAGTTTATATATTACTTCTTGAACTTTGGTCTGTTCCATCTTTCAAGCTTGTTCCTTGGTTTGAAAGTTCTTCCAAATTGAATCAAAAATATGATTTTATCTAAAAATTCAAAACTCCATCAAAATGTCAAAATTTTGATGGCACGTCTTGCGCTATGTCACCCCCTTCTGAAAACCTCTTGGAATCTGGCAGAAGCCACTATTATTACCCTCAAGATAGTATGAAATAAAATTGAAAACATAGTTTTTAAATTTAATGGTTCATAGAAAATTTGGAAATAGTTTACTAAACAATTACTGTATTAAGAGAAAGGAATTCCTATATTTTTGAATTGATTTTCATTATATCTATTACATTTATTTCAACTGGTGATTAAATGACACCCTATTGAGCTTTTTAAAAAATCACATAATTTTAAATTTTATCAATATTATATTACAGGAGCTTTAATTGTTTTTTAGTTCAGCTGTATTGCATTAAAAACATTAATAAAATCCACAAAATATTAAAAAATCTAGCCTAACTTTCTCACTTAAATTTTTGCGACTCTTGACATAGAGTCGTGTATCAGCTGGGTGTGATCACTTAAATAGGCAACCATTTTTAGAAGAAAAATCTGCTGTCTGAAATCTTTACACGAATTTATTCAAGAATTTAGATCTTTAATGGAAAGTGATACTGGTCAAGATGTTTAACTGATAATTCTAGGTAAAAAATACTTTTCTAAGACAAAGTCATCATGTTTGCAATATGAACCAGTTTAGTATTAGATTAAAACAGAAATTTACTAATGATTGGACTTATTCTCTTGCAATCTCTTTTCCTTTAAATTACGGACGGATCTACGGGGGTAGGGGGATATGCAGATGATATAGCTGTCCTTGGAAGTAATCAAGAAGGCATTGAGAAACTCGCTACAACACTGATAAGAGAGTCAGAGCAGATTGGTCTACAAGTAAATGAAGACAAAACAAAATATATGATAATAAGTCGAAAATTTCACCCCAATAACAGGATCTGCGTAGAAGGAAAAGCATTCCCGATAGTAGGAAGATTCAAATACCTCGGCTCCACAATAATCTCAATGAATGACAAACGGGCAGAAATATACCAACGTATAACTAGCACAAACAGAACTTTCTTCTCCATCTCAAAGGTATTGAAATCTCAATAAATCTCAAACTAAGAGCGTACAATGCTATGATAAAGCCAGTTCTAATATATGGCTGTGAGACCTGGCGCTAACCAGCACTCCAGAAAAAAGGGTTGAAAGATTTGAGAGGAAAATCCTCCGCACGATAAAGGGAGCGACCTGGGATCAAAGTACTAACACATTTAGAAGAAAGACCAATAAAGAACTAAGTACAGAAACTTATCAGTGAATATCCCATAATATGAAGGCACAGAGGTTAAGATGGGCAGGGCATGTAGTTCGTAGCAATCCATCTGGAAGCCTCTTTGTAACAATGAATGCCTCAATAGAAGGCAAAAGACAACGTGGAAGGTCAAAAAGCAGATGGATAGATAGAATTAACTAAGATGCAACAGAGCTGCGTGCAGATAAACGGGAAAATAGTGGAACACAGGCAGAGATGGAGCAGGCTTGTTAAGGCGTCATATTATCTTAATGGTCTGTAATGCCAACATAAAAAGAAAAAAAATAACTATTTTTTTATGAAAAAAATTATTTCTAAAAGTATTATTGTTCATCTAATTACAGTTAAAAGAACTTAAAGAATCACTTAAAGACCATTCCATATAGGTAGTTAGTTTCTTTCTTTCTTCCGAAGTAATTATCTATATTTATACAAAAAAAATCTTTTGGGCTGAAGCCCCCTCCAAAAAAAAAAAAAATTAAATCCTGAATCAGTGAGTGTTTTAAATGTAAGATAAGTTGATGACGGGTCTCCAAAATTGATCCATGACACCCATATTCTTTTTGATAATTGAGGTGGAAAATCCCAAAGCAGTTCTGCTGACAGAATAAGCTTTGGGTTATTGACAACTGGGTAGGTGTTACAGAAGATTGATGAAGATGGAAAAGGCTGGTAGTTTTAGGACCTCTCTTGATAAATAGATTAGTCTAAAATTATTTGTTTTTTTATAGAAAGTATGCACTTAAGCTCATTTATTTTCTTCTCAATTTACATTTCGCATAATATTTAAATTACAACGTTATTGTGTACCAAAGTATTTTTTTTTTTATAATAAATCTTCAAATCAACAAGACTTTAACAAAATTTAATTTGTTCCAATTCACAAAGAAATTCAATGAATTCTTATATCAATAACTGAACTAGTGGAACCATCCTTAGTCATGTCACTTCCTATTTAGGTCTTGTTTAGTCAAAGTTATTTTCATAAGCATTATTATCATTCCTTTTCTTTTTAACTTATTCTCTATTGGAAGTGTAATTATTATAATTTTTCTCTTGCAGTGGACTGCCTGGACCCAAAATGTTCTGGTCATGGAACATGTGTCAACGGACAGTGCTACTGCAAGGCAGGATGGCAAGGTGCCAACTGTAGTACTGTGGACCAGCAGGTGTACCAATGCTTACCTGGCTGTTCAGAACACGGTACCTATGATCTAGAAACTGCCACCTGTGTCTGCGAGTCCTTCTGGACAGGACCAGATTGTTCAAAACGTAAGTACCCATGAATAAAAAAACTTTAGAGAATTAATAACCAATAGCCTTCCAAAAAATAAATTTCAAAATGCAAAATAAACAATAGTTTTATTCTATTATTGCTATTTAGGATTATATTACATCATATTCATATCTTAATAAGAAAAAAGTAAAAAAGCAGAATGGCCACGTGTTTTTAAATTCATTACTTTAAATTGAAGGCTATCTGTGACAGTTTCCTCCTTTTTAATTTTTTTTAATTAGTTACATTGTCTGATTTTTAAATCCAATAAATTAAAAAACAGTTTAATTTGTAGAGCTATATTCTGAATAAAAAAAATATGCGTAGAAAAAAAATGTTAGCTGGCATAGGTACCCTGGCAATACATTATATATAATAAGAAATTGGAATATTATTTAAAATTAAGTAAATTTTAGTAATGAAAAAAAAGTTGGTTAAAAGAAGTTAATTATATGTGGTCAACCTACATAATTTTTTTTTTTATCTATTTGGAAATTATATCAACAATAATACCCTTAAGTTACATTTTTTAATCATAGACATTTTACTAAGCTCTAAAATGTTGTTTCTTTCATAATAATTAATTTGGAAGATTATTTTGTATAAACTAAAATCTTTAGATATGATTATTGCATCTATTTATTTTATTTTTATCATCTCCAATTTGATTTATATTTTTTAAACACACTTATGAAAATTTCAAGGATTCGAGGTTTAATGAACTCAAATTAAATCCAATAATTTTTTTTGTCACAGCATGGTGTCGTTTAGACTGTGGCCCTCATGGTCGCTGTGACTCTGGCCGATGTGTTTGCTCAGAAGGATGGACAGGAGACCGGTGTGACACTTTACCTTGTGATTCTCGTTGCTCACAACATGGACAATGTAAAAATGGTACCTGTGTCTGCTCACAGGGCTGGAATGGTAGACACTGCACTCTACGTAAGTTAATATTGTAACTTCTGTAAAATACACAGATGTGCTCATATTAATATTCATAGTTTTTTTTTATTTATTGTATTTCAAGTAATAATCTTTAATAAAAAGTTTTATTTTTTTTTGTAATGTGTGTATATTATTTCCAGCTGGATGTGTAAATGGATGCAGCAGACATGGTTCTTGTATCCTCCAGGAGGGTGAATATACCTGTCAGTGTTCAGAAGGTTGGGCAGGAATAGACTGTAGTGTCAGGCTTGAGATGGATTGTAATGATGAAGTTGATAATGATCAGGGTAATTTAATCAAATAAACTATATTAAGATACACAATATTTTTCTGAGGCAATTTGAGTGCGCCACCAGAAGAGTGGATATCTCCTAGATTTAAACCATAAATAATAAAACTGAATACAAATTTTCTACTATCTGAATCCAGGAGTTCAAAAAATTTTCCTACTATTTTTCGAATTCATGACTATATGAAACTAAATAAAATAGATGAATACTATTTGGAAATATCCTTTATTCTCTTTCAACATCAATGCTCTATCAACATAAGTAATTTAAAGTGAAGGGCATATCATACAAACTAAATTATCTTTTTCATAATTGATAATAAAATTATCTTTATCACTTAGCATTATTACTTTATTGCTACAATTAAATAACTTTTTGCAAACAGATGGAATGATGGATTGCTCCGATTCCGAATGCTGCTCTCACCCCTCTTGTCTGGAGCACATAATGTGCCTTGCATCAAATGACCCAGTGGAAGTTTTGCTGAGGAAACAGCCACCTTCCGTGACAGCATCATTCTACCAACGAGTCAAGTTCCTTGTGGAGGAAAACAGTGTTCAGAGCTATGCTCACATGGATGAATACAGTGAGAGGTAAGCTAACATAGCCTTTCTTACAGTTTTATTTGCTTCATTGTTTACAAGGCAAAAGCTCCTCTTGTTCTCCTTTCTATCTCTACAGTCTTCTGTCGCACACAGAGTTCCCAACAAGAGCCAATTCAGCTATAATCATTTGTAGCATGTAAATTTTCTGCTCCATTAGTAATCACTATCGCATGAATGCTTTGCCTTGTAAAATAGATCTCAATATTAGATAATTGGTGTTCAAACCATCCATTCTTATTATATTTTAATTATTACACCTAAGGAGTAACAATATATTTTCAATGATTGAGATAGTCAAAGATCTATCTAACTTAGGCATTTTTGATGAAAGCATTTATCATATACTTTCTCTTCCTTATAGAAATGCTGGTTTAGACCAGTTAGAAAATAACAACAGCACTAAATTGGAGTATAAATATTTTCAGTTTTTTGTGTTGTTTATTTTTTGTTTATTTTTATTTATTTTTTAATTTAAAATATGAATTATTTGACTTTAGCTCTGTAATGCTATTTAAAAAAGAAGTAACATATTGTTCATTTTCATTGTGCCATTTATTCTTTTCATGTGAATAATTAAAAATTATTTGTGTGCTTCTGAACATCAATACAGAGCAGAAGTCACAATAAAATCCAATTAAACCTTTTGTGTGTGTTTTGTCTCTTGTCTTTGTCTAGCCCATGCCTTATCCCTCATTTTGATAATCAGTGGTGCCATGTTTACAATGCAATAACATCAACTTTGTTATATCAAAGTATTATAAACATTTGTTTATATAAAAAATTTAATTGAAGTTACATTCACACAGGCACCACTGCCCTATAACCTTGTAACCCTGTGTGTCTGGATCCTTTAAACCCTGTGAACTGCCTGAAAAACATAATGCATCACTCTTTGTGCCTTTGTATGCTCATCAAACAAAACAAAGAGGCTGACCAAATTACCATTTAGGTGAATTTCAAAAGAAATAGAGAAAGGAAATCTTCAATGAATCACATTAATAACTGATTTATAACAAAAATTAGCTTATTTATTTATTTACTTTTTTTAATTTATAAATTAGTAATTGCATATTAAAAAACTGAAACGTTTTAGTTTTCTGTGTTGAATAACTGTTAGTAATTAGATTTTAAGTTGGCCCCAAGTAAAAGTTATGCTAAAATGTGAAATTTAAGTTGCCATTAGCTTTTTAGAAGCTTGTTATACTTTTCGACACAGTTTGCTCACTTGGTCTTCATGTCTTGTTTTTTTTTTTTGTTTTGTTTTTTCGATGTCATTGTATATTTTTTTATTTCTATCACACTAAATACTGCTCACGTAAGAAATGTTATTTGCTTAAGCATAGCTCCAACGTAGTTATTGAACAAAAAGAAATTGTTTTATTTTTGTTTTGTTTTTAGTTTTATGCTTTTAAAATAATTTTAAAAAAAATTAAAATACAGTTGAAATAACAGCAGAAAACTGATGGCTTTTATTTGTATGTCTACATTATTGAAATAGATATACAATTTTAGATTATTTGTGTATCCTTCTCATTTAATAATTTTGATAAATTTTTCTTTCTGAGCTGATTACAGCATGAAACCCCTCGTCTTCAGTAATTCTGCTCTTATTGCCATTTTATTTGTTTTGGTTTTTTGTTGTTTTTTTTCAATTTCATTTTCTGTTTGTACACTTGTTTTTAACTGAATGTTTGCATAAAGTACAAACAACAAACTACATACAAAATATTAAAACAAGAAAATGAAACACTATACATTTTTTTTTTAAATACAATAACTAGTTTAAAGTATCCATGCAACATCCCACTCATGTGTGATTGTTCAACCTTCTCCCATCCTCTACCCATTTAAAATGGCATGGATAATAATTTTTTTCTTATTCTAATTTGATTAAATTTAAATTTATTAAACATAAATAAATTAATTTCTATAAGGAAACACGCCTATACAAAAAGTACTGGTGAGAATGTGTATATTCAGGAATGAGCATTTGGAAACTCGAGACGAATTTTATTCTCATTGTTTGAAATGTTAATAATTAATAGTTTCATGACCTAAATGTATCATTCTTGTAAATCTTCATGTTACTCCTGGTAACATTAAACTTATTATAAAATGAATACTTTTTAATATATTTAAGAATCCAAATGTTCATGTATCTGTTTATAATTACCACAAAGTAATGTGTCCTTGTGTTTCTCTTTGTCCTAAACCCTGTGTGTAGTCAATTCTGGAACTCGTTTGTACCTCGGTAAGTTCAAAACGAAAATAAGACATTTGCCCGATCACTAACTTTAACCACTCGTACCATATATGTGTCTTTATCTGTAGCTTTTATGTTTTTTATACATTTTTATTGATTTAAATCCACTTAATTTTTGTGATGTGCATATTATTACTTGATCTTTGTTATGGTGCAATATAGGAAATATATCTTTTTATATTCTCTCTGTTAAATAATATTACATTTTTGAATTAAAATTACCATCATTGTTCCAAAAACTTAAATTTACTTGTATTTATGGATTGGCATCATCAATATTTTATATTGATTTATTAAACTATTGAAACAAGAATAATTGTTTGCACCATGGCAAAATGAATGTAAACCCTCCGCATATATGTGTGTGCAAGTGTCAATTCTTTTGTATTCATATATATTTTATTTTATTTTTTAATTTTTTTTTTGCACTTTTTAATTTATATATTTGTCTCGTCATTGTGAATGTTACCACTTTTGTATGTCCTAGTTTAGTATTTGTTCGTGCTTTTTTATTTTAATTCCATGAAATAACTAAAGACACAATTTTAAAGGAACCATTTTTAATCGTTCAAACATAACACTATACGGCAGCCATCTTTGGATACCTCACCTAAAACCTTTTGTCTCCTAACCACAATTGTCTTTGTCTATGTCTTTGTCTTATGTCTTGTACCGTTATCCCGATTCCTTTCTACAAACCAAAATTATTTTTATATTTATTTTAACAGAAAAAAAAATTTATTTTATTTGCTTTTATGTTGTACTAATGAAATTATCAGCATACATGTACTGAACTGACTGCATTTTTCTTTCTCAATGCTAAGCAGTGTTCAATGATATATCCAAAAATCTTTCCTTTGATCCTTGTGCTAAATTATTTTCAGCATATGTCTATTGTTGTCTAGACATCTTGTCAAATCCTATTCTAGATCAGGGGATTTATTAAAAGGATGGAAAGGTAGTATGTTATTCTTCATTTATCTATGTTAGTTGGCAGCACTGCATTTAGAGTTGCACTAAGAATATTTTTGTCCATTTTTTTTCTTGTGATGTCAGTTGCTTCTTATTTATTTTTAATTTTTATTCTTAAATACCTATTGTGTTATCTACTATAAGATAATTTATAATGATATGTAAGATCATAAAACACTAAAATACATTTTGGTCATGTTATCAGTACTTGTGAAACTGAAAGTTTTATTAGTACAACATACAATATTCTTATTATTTTCTTTATTATTTTTTAAATTGTTTAATCATGTTTATTCTTTCCATTATTCTTATTATACTATACATTACCGCTATTGATGACACACAATATTACTTGTAGTTCATTAATATAAAATTTTACATCTATTTTAGCTTTTTAAAGAATGGATAATGAGATTTGTTCTATTTTGTTATTACGTAAATATATAAAATGGGAATTCCTATGAAATCAAAATTCCTGCACATAGATGCATGTTTTGATTACTAAAATTACATTATTTTAAATTGTTCAGAGTGTTTTTTTATATTTAATGAATATTAATGTAAGAGGCACCTATTATAATAGAATGAATAGTTTTCATGACACTTCCCTTGCTTGGTAATTCTTAAATTTTAAATTTATTTCAAGCTCAATTTAATTAAAATTTCTAGTTGAAATGTAAAACTTTACTTCAAAATATCATTCTTATAACAAATGGGTTACATGTAATTATCAATTACTTCTTCCATTTTAGTTACCACAGCAATTTTCATGTTGAATGGATATCATAATAACACTGTACTCATACTTCACAAATATATTCATCTATTTGAAAACATTTCCCAATTCTACTGATAGCCATTTTTTTTATTATTATTACTTTTTAATCTCTATATTTTCCAATACTTCCTTAAGTTATTGTTCTAATCTACTGTTGTAAAGTGATAAAAAACAATTATTTTAATGTCCTTACAATATTTTAATTTCATTTTGTGTCTATTAAACGTTTAATGACGGTGCACTCATATACGAGTCTAGATGAAATTGGACCCCGGCAAAGATGGCCATTCATGGAACTATCATTTATGACTCAAGACCCTGTTGGGCTGTCCCTTTTAAATGACAGGGTTCTCGGTGATGAATTCTAATTTCTAACTATCTCATGGCCTTCACTGGAGGCAGTATGCGATTTTTGCATGATTGGAGAATATTGGCATTTTGATCGATGCCTTAAATAAAAGTGGTCAGTAGAGGTGATAAAAAGTATTCCATCCTCAAGGATGCTCCACCCTACCAGCTCATCATCTAAAAGGTTAAAGACTTTTTTCATGAATAAATAACCATAAATATTTATTTAAATATAAATTGTCACAATATTAATTGTCCTGATGTTACAAGATTTCAATGTTATATGGGATGTGATTCCATTCGTGGGCTTTTTAATATATTTAAAGTTACAAATGTGTCCCTTCTGGATACTGAAAACCCTTTTTTTGGTTATGAAAAAACATTAGAATTATTTTTATCAAAGAAAAAATATATTTACAGCTAAATCCCTTTTTTATTGAATTTGTGTGGATAAACAATCTCGGCATATCATAATAAACAAATCTTTCAAATTATTGATTAAAATTGCTACATATCAAATAAAAAAAATGTACAATTTTAAAATTAGATGTCTGTTTATATATTTTTCAAATTATGGAAATAAGAAACAAAAGATAATTCAGAAAATAACAAAAAAAGAAGTATTCCAAACTGTGGAACACAGCTCGAGATTTGTTTTTAACATCCCTAAAGTGTTCTTTACTCTGAAAACACTTCTCTTAAATACCTTCAAAATAAATATTTATGTAATTCAATAATGAAAAATTACAGTTTTTTTATTCTTCGAAATTTTTATCATTTGTTTTTTCAACAACTTTCAGTTATCATCTTTAGAAGTTTGTTGATTGTAAATTTCTCAATGCTTTACTATCCTCAACAAGCTCCCACATGAAAATAGGTGCCTCCAGATTTCAGAATTTTGTTTGATTTCAAATTAATTCAGCCTTCTTTTGTTTTTTATTTTGTTTTTAGAAACTTTAAATGTTATAAATAACTTATTTAAATAAGAATATATTATTTGAAATAATTCAATGGATAATTTATTCATTTAAATATTACTTAAACAATTTTATCTACTTATAATGGTTTGAAAGCTTGTAATATTATTTAATTTATAACTGTATTTTTGAACAAGTAATGCTAATTGAAATGAAGCTTCATTATTCTAGTGCTGAAGTGCATGTTGAATGAAATAACATTAAGCTGTTTACTCTGTAAATATTTTTAATACTTGACTATTATACTGATTTTTTTTTTTTTTTATAGAAATATCTTATTTTTATACAATTATTTATCTTAACAATGGCTATCAAACAATAATTCTTATAATTTTATCTGATGGCATGATTACATACTAAAAAAATCTTAAGTTCATCATAAATAAATTTTGCATGCTATAGGAAACAAAAATTAAAACTTTAATATAATCTTCAGATCCTTCATTGAAATAACTTACAATGTTTAAATTCTTTGCAGTATTACTAAGTAAGTTACACTATTTTATCAAATCATTAAGATGTCAAAGAGTCTATTCTTTATATTGAAATTAAGTTTTTGTTTTTTATTTATATGTCATTTAGGAACCTTAATTATGTGAATAATATTTATTTAGGAGAGTTTCTGTGATGAGAGGACAAGTTTTATCTCCTCAAGGATTGGGAATTGTTGGTATACGTGTGTCAGTTGATAGGGATTCTAGATTTGGATTCACACTTACACGTGCTGGAGGATGGTATGAACCGTTTATATTTCTGATAATTAACTACTATTTTTTAGCATTGGTCAGTGACAGTATTTAATAAGTTTGTTAAATTAGCTTTGTAAATTAATAAAATACAGGTAACTTTTTTATAGTAACCACAGACAGAATTTCTCTTTTGTGATAAACTTTTGTTTGTAGGTAATGAAAATACTACAAAGTTAGCTATAATAATGTTTAAATAAAGTAAAAATGTAATGATATTAATATAATGTATAATAACATGAATTATAGCAGTGAGTTATCATGTTGAAGAATTCATTTTTTTATTTATTCTAATATTTATACATTCATACGTTCTATTCTTATCTTTATTGAAATTGAGATTATTTTCTGTATTTAAATTTATATAATTTGTTCTTTTGATTTCATTCTGTGACAAAATTTATTTTATTTTTTTAAACAAATCTTTTCCATGGATCCAAACTGAATAAATTGAAAATGGCCCAAACAAACAGAGTTCATATTATATGTTATATTTAAAAATAAAGTGAAGGAAATAAAAGTCATCACTTAAATATAACCGATTTAATAACTCTGAACCAACAGAAAAGAAGCAATTGGAGGAACTTGAAAAACAAAAAGTGGTACTGAATTATTGGGGATCCCTAGCTGAGCTGTAATTTATGCTACAATTTAGCCCTTAAGATATTCATTAAATAAACATTCAGAAAAGGTAGCGGTGTATTCCCAACTTATTCATGACAAAGCCAAAGATGTAAACTTAAATTTTGAATTAGCAGCTTTTATAAAGAAAAACAGTAAAATTCATCAATTGACAAGATATTGGTTGGAGGTAAACAAATTCTCAAAAAAAGACAAATAACTGTTTTGACTCGATTTATTAGAAGTAACAGAAAGTATATTATTTTATCTTTGATATACAGCTTATAATACATTTCAATACCACACTTGTTCTCCAACAATCATGATGAAAAATAGAATCAAATTAATTGCTAGGAAAGTAATGAGAATAATCAGATATTACAAAAATGGAAAAAAAAAGGCTAATGAGAAATTACTTAAGAAATCTCATCAGTCGTAAAATATATGGATAAATTGATTAAGATGAAACGACCACATAGCTTCCAGTAATCCTTCATGCGCAGTGGAGGACAACTGACTATTTCGAAAACTGATGACTAGATGAATGGATACATAAATAAAAAAAATGCATACCTTTTGTATTTGAAATTAGTAAACAAGAGCTGTAATGGTGTAACAAATTAAAACAAAAAGTAAAGTAAAATTAAAATTAAAAAAATAGTGATAGAAACTTGGATGTAATTTTTAATCTAAAAATTATAATGAACCTTTTCAAATTCTACTTAAAATTTTAGGTTTGATGTATTAGTTAATGGCGGAGGAGCAGTAACTTTGCAATTTCAAAGGAGCCCATTCCAACCAATGACAAGGACTGTATTTGTGCCTTGGAATCAGATTGTAGTTCTTGCTCCTATTTTCATGCAACTTTCTGATGAAACTGCAGAACAGTTCAGGGAAAATCAACCTCCTCCTGCTCTAGCTCTTGGTATGTTACATTCTAATCAACTTACACATGAATCCTTTGTTTTATAATGTTAGTTTAATTCTACTGATTCTTTGCTTGTAGGTTTAGGAAGTCTTGTCCACAATTTACCTTGTATAGATCATGATGAAACACTGTTAATGCCGGTAATATTGTCAACTTGGATGCCTGAAAAAGTTGGAGGGATGCCTGGAAAAAGTTTAATTTTTGCAGAAACACAAGTAATTTTTTTATGACTAATTAAAAATTATTTGTAAGAAAAATAAACAAAACTTTAATTTGAAATAAAAAATTTGCATCTTCTTATCAATACATAAAATATAGTATATTTATGAAAAATATTGCAAATGTAGCATTTATAATAAATATGTATATTAATTGTTGGAAAAATGTTGTTGATTGAGAGGCACATAGTATTTTTAAATTGTCCATAAAAATTGTCCCGCATTTTATTTAATAAATTCCAGAAGCTTTCTGTATTTAGTATCATATTCGTCTAACGGTGTTTAAAACATTGTATTTGTATATTTAATGTGTTAATGATTCAATATAATATAATTACATTTAGTGTTATATTTCCAGATGAAAATAAAAAGCTTCTGAATTTCATAAAAGGTTGTCAGATTGTTTGAAGGGTTAACAATTTTTATTAACCAGTACTGTTGTTAAAATAAATTTGTTTAAAGTGGACTTTTATTCAGTGAATATGATGTACCCATGGCTATTGGTGTCCTTTGAAAAGTAGTTTGACTCTTAATTTTTTTTAATGGGTTCTTTTATTATTTACAATTCTGGCAAAAATGTATCATTTACCATGAGAAACATATAATTATTTTTTCTCTAACTGCCTCAACATACCCATGAGTCATACTCACAAACGCGTGAAAATCTGATATACTCTCCAGATGAATGATTATTTGTCAATCGTAACTCTGATTTATCAGATTATGAATAATTATTGTATCAAGAAACATATCACTTTTTTTATTTAATTTGTGAATTAACATACTAACAAGTAATAATAATTAAAAAGAAAGAATAAGTATTTTAACTAATATACCTAAGTGTACCTTTTATTTTAATTAATATTTCATTATCACTTCTCAAAAAATTTGATGTATTGTATTTATACTTATTAATTTCAGATGCTTCAAGAAAGTATTCGTATTCCTGGTTCTGGTCTACATCTAATGTATAGAACAAGTCTCGCGCCTGGTTACTTGAGTAAAGTTGTCATGAGACTTACACGTTCAAAGATTCCTAAGTCTCTTGTGAAGGTTCATGTTAGAGTGGAAATCGAAGGTTCAGTCCACACAAAAACATATGAAGCTGACCCTAATCTAACTCATGTATTTGCCTGGAATAAAAGAAATGTTTATAAACAGAAAGTTTATGGAGTTGCCCAAGCTAAAATATCAATTGGTTATGAACACTCAACTTGCCCTAGTATTGTTTGGGAAACACAAACAGCCACACTTCAAGGATTCGATGTGGATATCTCAGATGTTGGCGGATGGAGTCTCAATATTCATCACCATTACAACTTTCATGAAGGTACTTAATCACGCCTTCTGCATTTTAATTTTTTTATTATTTTACTAGTCTATTTATCTATAAATATTCCTTTAATTATTTTAGCTGAGAGAAAAAAATCTATGAATTAAATATTAAACATAGTTATTAACTTATTCCTGTAGGTATTTTACAAAAGGGAGATGGGTCTACTGTGCACCTCAAGCAGTTGGCCCGTAGTGTAAAAGTCGTGATGGGCACAGGATTACAACGGCCACTGCAGTGCAAGGATTGTGATGGCACTGCAAGAGATGCCAGACTTTTAACTCCTGTTGCACTGACATCTGGTCCTGATGGTTCGTTATATGTCGGTGACTTTAATCTAATTAGACGTCTCACACCTGATGGCAATGTTTATACTGTCTTGCAGCTTAGGTACCTTTTCCAAAATATATAAATAATTTATTTATAGATAATATAGTATAGAATATACTTTTTAATTACTTAAAATAATATGTTCAAACTGCTAGAATTAGATATGCGACAGTTTTTGCATGTATTATATGGCATGGAAACGAACATGACAGTCAAGTATGTTTAGGCACAAATTGCTTGTTGCTTCACGATGAATTTTAACCCCATTAACAAAAAATATTGTTTAAAGGCAAATATTAATTCTGAATTACAGTTTATTTTAATTCTAATTACTTTTGAGCTCATAAAATAAGTTTTAAAAAAAAACACAATTATTATTTCAATCTTAATTTTTCTGGTATAACCACTGTATATTACTTTCATCATTGTGAACTATTTTATATTTGTAAGAGTATTTCTTTTTAAGCCGTCCTTAGTTCTCTAATTTCCTGAATTAAATCATTTATCTTCATCAGTTCTTGATATTGACCAACAATTTTATTTAAGATAATTTTTACATTAGTAAATTAACTGCAATAATGATTTGAAACACTGATTTCCATCCTACATTATCCAATTTATGAAAATAATCTTTCTTGGGATGCTATTATTAGATCCTAATAATTTTTATCCATGTTCATTATTTTTTTCTGTAAAGCACTGTATGAACTTATGGAACTTTATTTATAGAACTTTTGTGTTAGCTTTTCTTAAATATTTTCTTTTATATTTTTTTAATTAATATTATTAAATATTTTATTAAATTTTAATGAAATTGAAATGCCAATTTCAGTGCGACCCAAGTGTCCTACCAGTATTATTTAGTTTTATCTCCAGCTGATGGAAGATTATATGTGTCCGATCCTGAAAGACATCAAATCTTACGAGTAATATCGTTGGATTCTGTACCAGAACCATCAATTAATTGGGAGGTAAATTATTATAAAAAATTACATATTACATTATATTTGATCTCATTAAAAATTAATGATGAAAGTATTATCTTCATCAATTCATGAAGAACTAGATTTTAAAATATTATGAACGCTTCATATTGTATATAATTTTTTCTAATACTATTTTGCTTTTATTGTTATGAATTTGGCTGTGGTTTACAGTCATAGACAAGACACAAATAATGATAAAAGATTTTTTGGTACTTGTGAGTTAGCCGGTCTCCACGGAATGCTAACCGCCATTGCTTATAACCTGAATACTGATAATTCTGATACTGATAGATAGATAGAAAAAAATCTTTATTCTGGGACCTTCTTATTACTGATAATACCTACATTCTTATTCATGTTTATGGAAATTTAAATAGACGAAAAGGAATTTAATAATAGCAAAACACTTTTCTTAGACGTTTTTAATACACACTAATAGAGTTGTTGCTTTTCTGTTTTTTATTTTTACAAAGAAACACTCGTTAGTTTCTGGACAAACTCCACCACACATCCTTTGTTCACGGAGCACTATCCCTATATGATTCTTTCTTTTAGAAAAAAAACTTTAGTTTATTTCAACGACTTTTCCTGTCCCTCCAGTTTTATTTAGTTGGCCTGTATATCATGTTATGGCTACAAACCACTCTCAAAAATCTGCTACTCTTGACAACATTTCTGTTTAATAGTTTCAGCTGCGCTTTGCCCCATTCGATTGTTGTTAAATTATAAGATGAGACATGAATAAACTTTAAAACTATTAAAAAGGTAATTCTTGACCTCTCTAACCACATTACTTTTTTTTTATAAAAATGTTTTTCCTGCATCTTTGATGAAAATATCTCCATTTTATCTTCTTCTTAAACTCCTTTTGATGACATTCTTTACACAATTTCATCTTTGCAATTATTCTGAACTTTTAAAAGTATTTCACAGCTTCTTCTTCTGAAGATGGCTATTGCCAAAGTGTTATATCCATTGTAAATAGAATATAACAAAAATGAATAAGTCGCGAATAACTAAGCAGATGCGAATGATAAGTAGAGGTTACATGAGATAAGAACGTAGGTACGTTGGGGACCTGCTAAATCACAAAATAAAATTATTTTATTTATATTTGTATGTTCTCTCTCTCAGCAAGCTCCAGCCAACTACTCAATCATAGTCTACAGTCAGCAATTTCTTCTCTATTATTTTACTTTCATTTTTATTATCTATTTTCTATTAAACTTCTTCTACCACTCTGAAATTGATGTGTTTATATATATCATAATATTCCGTAATGCTTATTTGCTGTTTCACATCTCTTATTTGTATTTTTTATTTTTCTTATTTATCAAAACACTTTTCTTAAAGGTTGCAGTTGGTTCTGGAGATCGCTGTATCCCTGGAGATGAAACCAGTTGCGGTGATGAAGGTCCAGCACTTCAAGCTAAATTGGCTCATCCTAAAGGTTTTTTTTTTTTTTTAATCATTATTTATTTACCTATTCAATAGAGCAGCCATAATTGAACTGAAAAACATTCTGCTTTTACTGTTGTTCTCTTTTAACATGAACTTCTTTTTTTTTTATTGACAAAAAATATTGTTATGAAACTATAAAAAAAAAATTAAAGAAATGAACTAATAATCAATCTATGATTAATGTCGCAATTTTACTATGAATATGAATAATCATTTGATAATCAAGGTATAGTTCCGATGATAATATTTATTAATTAATTAATACAGAGAAAAATTCGGTCTACCTACCTAAACTTTGAATACTCACAATTTATCAAGCAGCGTATGTATGTATGCTCTCTTTGAATGACTGGAGAGTCCAGATCTTTAATTATAATACGGTTCTCCTTAATAATGATCTGTAGGCTGAAACGGAGATGAAATAAAAAAAAATTATTAAGACAAAGGAATCTAATTAAAGCTTGTTAATTGTATAAACCAAGTCTTAAACAACTAAAACAGTTAAAATATAAACTTACTGTTATTATTAATTGTTTATATTTATATAAATTTATAAATATTGTAATTCGATCGTATATTTATTTTTAAAAAAGTACTTTGAAAAATTTTGTTTGGTATAAATGAAAAATTATATTTCAGCTGGTTGCATATTTTAAACTTATTAAAAACAACATCATATTATCTAGAAGTTATACTGCAAGTTTGATTTGATCCAAACTTTTGCTTGATTAGACTTTTACATGCTGGATTATTATTTTATTTAGTAATAGTTTAAGTTCACTTTGTCTTACTAATTACTAATTTAAGAATCTATGACATTGATATTAATTACTCTAATAAAAGTTAAAATTGATGCAAATTGCTGAATAATGAGGATTTTTTTAAAAATCATTTATTAACTTATAATAAATTAATATATTTTATGAAATATATTAAAATGCTTATTTATGTATAAAGAATAAGAAGAAATATTATACCTTATTTTTTTTTTTGTCACAGGTTTAGCAATAGCTGCTGACAAAACAATGTATATAGCCGATGGTACAAACATCAGATCTGTAGACCCTAATGGTATTATACACACCCTGATTGGACATCATAAACATCACAATATTTGGCAGCCTATACCATGCAAAGGCGCTATACCAGCTTCTCAGGTGATTACTTTCAGATCAAATTTTGAAACAATTTGAGTTAAAAATACTGAACTGTGATTATATAAAATGTGTTTAATCAATTTTCTAATACATATGTAATGAGTTTTCAAATGAACAGTGCTAGATTTTTGAGGTTGATATATTATCTTATTCAGTGAGATCCCGTGCATGTTTATAAAGCAAAATGACATGAGGATCATGTGTTCGGTTTGTCCACTAAAAGGTGTATAATGATGTTTTGAGAGAACAACTTGGTCTATTTTTAAGTTTGATATCTTAGATTAATTGGTGAGATCTCATGAGTTTTCCAAAACAATTTGAGTTAAAATCAGTGACCCTTGAATGAATAAAATGTGTTTAATCGATTTGCTAAGAGGTATGTAACAGTTTTTCGTGCAAACACCTGAAACTATTTTTAAGTCAGATACTTTAAATTATTCGGTGAGATTACGTCAGTCATATGAAAGATTTGAGCTGAAATTACTGTGGTAAGTGTATTTAATCAAGGCGCTAAAAGTTATGTAATGATTTTTTAGTAAATGGCATTAACGGTTTTTAACTTTAATGGCTGTAATTACTCAGTTAGATCCCATCAATGTTTTGAAACAATTCGAGCTCAAAATACTGAGAAAATAATTTATTATAGTTTAAATTTCTCAATTATTAATTAATTTGAATGGATGATATGTGATCTTATGTTATAAAAATAAATTGTTAAGGTTTTACAAACTAAAAATGTTTTTTTAATGTATTAAAAGCTTAACTGTTACAAATCACATTATTGAAATTATTTGTATATTGGAGATATGAAAAAAAAATCAGTTTTGTGAAATAAAAAATCCTTATCAAGCCTAAAAAACGCTTCCTCTAAAACATTATATTTGTTATTTAAAAGAGTGATTTTTTTACTCAAATCATTTTGTAGTCAATTTTCTTTCACCTATTATGAATTAATTTAGTTATAAATTATACATTTTTAATATTTATATTCCCAGACATATCGGTCAGGGAAAATTATCATTAAATAGGGAAATAGTATGGAAAAGTCAGGGAATTTTACTTTAACTGTCTGGTAGCTACGGGGAGCGGGGTAGCTCATTGGTAGGGCAGTAAGCTTCTGGTGCTGAAGGTTCCAATTTCAAATCCCGGCTCATGGCAGAAAAATTATTTATTCTGTTTCTTTGGCCGTGAGGTGATCCTGGGGTAGGGAGACCCTCCTGGGGCACACCCAGTCTCTATAAAATGGCTACCCTTGATTAAATAATTGACTAAGGGGAGAAACCTGGCGGTTGAGCCTGATCCTGGCCCGATTCCTTCCCTGCACAACCGTAGGACTTGAAACAGTTCTTTCCCTAAATAGTACTGAACCCAAGACACTACCCTTCTTGGGTTTTAGTGGTAGAGGTTTTTTTTTTGTTTAGGTTTTTTTGTCTTGTATCCACCCTGAAAATACTTGTTTTTAACAAAGAAATAAAGATCCACACTCTAAGTATTATTATTGTGCTGGTAAAAGAAAAGTAAAAATCAAATTTAAAAATAAATATTGGACATACTTTTCACTGTACTCCTAAAGATTATAATTTTACTTAAAAGTTATTATTATTTATATTATATTATTTTTATTATTTTACACATAGGCTCAGCTGCAATGGCCCACTGGTCTTGCTTTAAGCGCATTAGATGGATCACTACATTTTATTGATGACCGACTTGTCTTGAAGCTTACTTCTGATTTAAAAGTGCGCCTTGTGGCTGGAACTCCACTTCACTGCCATTCTAATGCAGAAGAAAAACATGAAGAGGAGAAACAGGTTCAGGTTAATAATTAAATAATTCATTTTAGATATATTGTTATCCTCAGTATTGGTATGTAATTTATTAATATTTGTTCTTATTATACAGACTGAAGAAGGAACTGTCGCTACTTCAACAGCCCTTGGTCCAGTACTTGCTCTCGCATTCAGTCCTGATGGGTTGCTATACATCGCAGACACTGACTCTCAGAAAGTAAATGCTATTCGAGTTGTGGATGCATCAGGAAAAATGGCTTATTTTGCAGGAAAAGTTCAACAAAACAATGATAAAACGTATGAATTAATACCCTAAGAGAAAAAAATATTTCTTTATAAATTCCTATGAAAATATTTTCATTTTATTTTTCTTTAGATTATGTGACTGTGCGAGTAACAGTACTTCACCTTGTTCATGCTTCAGTGAAACTAGTAATTCAAAGGAAACTCTATTGTCGACAACTGCTAGGTTTACCTCAATATCTGCTATTGCAGTGAGCCCAGATGGAATAGTTAATGTTGCTGACCAGGTAATAATTTTACATGAATTTCTTATTATATTAATTGTACCATCTCTATGGTTTAGAAGTTATATACCTCTAAACAAAATAAATATAGGCTCAATTCATCTAAGATAATTATTTCTTAGGATTAAACTTAGAAATGTAATCCTTTGTCCAAGTCGTGTGATGCGCGCACCAGATTTTTTTTTAATTATCTCTGTTTTTTTAAGTGATCAAATTTTTGATTTTTCAAAAAAAATTAATGAATCTTCTTATTTAATGTTTTTTTTTTTTTGTTTTTTTTTTTAGGGCAACTTGCATATCTTAGCCCTGGAGCATTATCTTCCAACTCATGATGAAAATGGGGAATTCAGAATACCATATCCTGCTACGGAAGAAATTTATGTTTTTAATCGTTATGGTCAGCACATTTCAACCAGAGACATCACTACTGGCAAACCCAAATACACATTCCTCTACAGCAAAAATACTAGTTTTGGAAAGTTATCAACAGTTACTGACAGTTCTGGAAATAAAATTCTTTTCTTGAGGGACTATAGCAACGTAGTATGTTCCTACCTAAAAACCTGTTTTCAAATATCAATAGCAAAATTTAGATTTTTAAAATAAATATTGAACTACCTTTTCAGGTTAGTGCGATAGAAAATACACAGGACCATAAATCGGAACTAAATATATCTGGAATTGGGTTTTTGACTAAGTTTGTTGAGAAAGGTCGTTCTGAAATTGTTTTAGATTATGATCCTACTTCTGGGCTCCTAACTAGTAGATCTGACTCCTCAGTATCTGTGAGTATTTTTATATTTTGTATTGGAGTAATGACAAATATTTTCCCATAAAATTAAATTTTTCCAAGTTCCAATAGTTTCACTTTTTTACATTTTTTGTTTTAATAATTATTTATAATGTTCATTACTTTCTACTTTTCAACTAAACAATATTTTCTCGTTAGGGCGGATCAACCTATTTGTACAATTACGACTCACTCGGTCGGTTAATTGATGCAGTTCTTCCAACTGGTGAAACAATGTCATTGACTTCACAACTTGGTCAAAAAGATGAACTTGAAGTCTATATCACCCTCCCTGTTCATCCGATGACAACAGAGCTTCATCGTGTAGGAATCAGTATGAATGATGATCGTATCGCTATCAGAGATGGTATTATCTTTTATTAGCTTGATTTAAATCATATTATTTTTTTTTTCATTAATTGTTGTGTGAGCTTCAATGTTAAATGTATATTAAAAGATTAGGATTAAAACTAAAAAATAAGGGAACAAAGTTTAATAATTACAGTACTAAGAAAATATTTTAAATTAACAGCTTTTAGTTTCTCTTAACAAATAATTGTAAAAGAAAATATAATCTAGATGATGGTATAAACAAAAATTAATTATTTTTAATATCTTTCTTTGGCAACATTCATTTGGGCTATCTCTCTTTTCCTTAGTTATTGAATACTGTTGACAATTCAGTACATAATGAAAACATTTTGGTTTACCTACTGACCCATTTTTGGGACGAAAACTTCATGTAGTTGCACATTAATGTATAAAAGTTTTTACTTATAGATTATAATTTAATTAATTTCCTAATAATATTGTTTATTTACATTAATTAACATCTAGTTTAGGTCCGAAATAGATAAATATATTTCTTTAATAATTCGAAAAAAAAAAAAATATTGGAATGAAATACGTTGGTTCAGCCAGAAGCTGCTACCTGTCTCAATTAATTTAAACTAATATTTTAGTTGTTATTAGAATGATAAACAAGATGTTTTGCTACTTTAGGTCTTTCGGTGATGGCTGAGGCTGGACTGTTACATAATAGAACTGTTGTAATGAGCACTAGCTCTCATGGCCGAGTGGAGTTGAGACCTGGAGCTCGACACCCTCTACTGGAACTGGCCATGCCAGTACAGGCTGAAATGTGGCCGATGTGGAGCCGGCAATCTACCACAAGGCATGGCATTACCAACAGCATGGCTGCCACTTATACTCTGGTCGGAGATGCTGCCAACAACCAACACACAGTTCATAGTCATCTATGGGTACTTAACTTTTAATTTTATTTTTAATATTGAACATCTAATTACAATTTTTTGGTTTTTATAAATATTATAGTGTTGATAATAAAACTTTTCAACTTTTCATGACTTTTATTTCAAATTTGAATTACAATTGTATCAATGAGTAGTTTACCCACAAGTAATTTTCATTTTAGATATTTCTTTTTCTTTACTTACATTATGCTACATAACGTTAATATGAAAATTAAATATTTAAAGACAATTAAATTCAAGAATTTTCTTGAATGCTTGCTTGATATGAAACTAATTTTTCAAAAAAGTAATTGTTTTTCATAACCATAAATCTCAAGCTGAAATTCATTTAGTTTGAGAAAAACAACTCTTATAAGATTGTTAACTTATTGAGTTTAAATAGAAATTGAAAAAAAAAAAAAATTCAGTTCATATAATTTATATTATTACTTTTTTTATGTCACTTATAGGTGAACAGTTCCAAAGTACTTGGTATTGAGTATGACCAAGGGAAGAGTAGAAGAACAGTTTATGATAAAGACCAAGTACCTATTCTTAGCATCACTTATAATAACCATGGTCTGCCGACATCTTGGAGACCAGCTAATACTAGAACTCTTAATATTACATATGACAGGTAAAAAGATAACTTGTTTTTTAATTTTAATAATTTTGCAAAGAGTTTTCTATATATCTCATTTTCATAAAATACACATATTTTAATTATAAAATTTACACAATTCAGAAATTATATACGCATGAAATGCTAAAAATTATATAAATTAAAAAAGATTTATTAATTAGAATTCAAATATCATATGTACCATGATATTCAATAGTGTTAACGTTTAGTTTAATTGTGAATTTTCATATAATACTACAATAATAATCTTCTCAAGGGCATGTGTATATATCAACTCATTCTCTTCCAGATTTAATAGAATCGAAGGATGGAAATGGGGAATGCAAGCTGAAACATATTCTTATGACAGGCATGGTTTGCTATCTGAAGTCAAGACCAAACAAGATGGTGTTATCCGATATACATATAATGACCTAAACTTAGTAAGTGAATTGTATGATCACTGATAATGGTATTTGAAACCAATATAGTATCTTCATGTTATTTTTTTTTTTTTTGTAATAGGTAACCCAGATAACTCTCGGTAGTGGCAGAAAAGTATCTTTAGTTTATGATGAACATGCTGGATTGAGACACATTGTTTTGGCATCAGGAGCGAAACATTCTGTTTCTTGTCAGCCATCAATTGGCTTTGTCAGATTTACATATACTCCACCTGGTAATTACTTGAATTAAACACCTCCATCTGAATTTAAAAAAAAGATTACAGCCTCTCATTGTTATTTTTCTTGTAGGTTCAACAAAGTCCTACTTGCTTCATTATACACATGCAGGAAAATTACTTCAGATAGTCTACCCTGGAGATGGTGCTCGTGTTTTGTACAGATATCACCCTTCGGGTCAATTAGCTGAGGTAATGATTATATATTACTTACATTAATGATCTAGCGCAGATAACATAACAATTTGGAGATTTAATCGTTAATTTTCATCTGAACAGCCAATAGAGGGTCAAAAGTTATATTCATCTTATTAAAAAAAATATGTTAGTAGTTTTTTTTTTTTGTCCTCCCCATCTTCACCTTTTAGACTCTGGGCCAAGGGGTGTGGACGGGGTATTTATGCCAGAGTTAAAAGCCTCCCTAGGCACCAGGAAGCAAACTCCTTATTATTTCATCAAATTATCTTCTATATGAGTTCCTAGGCAACCCGTAGTGCTGTGCACACATCCATTAGCTGGCTTGGCCACCCCGCCCCCAATATGTTAGTAATGTAGAATGCTTGCTAAAGTTTGAACTAATGATTTAAAACAAGCATAGGTAATGGCAATCAAAAAGATAAAAAGTTAATAATATCAAATAGGCAAAAATAGAGATAAACAAAGTTCTTTTGTAAATAGTTAATCCTTTTTTAATGATATTTTATTTTTAATTTATAGTTATGATAATATCCCTAATTTTTAGGTTGTTCACGGAGATGGAATAACACAACTCAAACATTGGCCGGATTCTGGACTTCCTAGTCAAGTGCTCCATTTTGAAAAAGATTTTGAATATCGATGGGATTATCAATATTCTGGAGGTTTACTTACAGAAGAAAGGTGAAATGTTACTTCATAATACATTTCATTTATCTTACTTTTACCTTTAATTTTTTTTTTTTTATCATACATTTATCTGACTTAGTGTTTATAAGTTTTATGCACATATACTTGTAATGGTTTACTAATAAGGCAATCTAATTGAGATTATTGTGAAATTAATTATCATTATTGAACATAAATTCTATTTAGCGATAACATTAAATCTAAAACAGTAAATAATAAACAAAATTTCATTTTCATGAATGTGATGAATATTTTCTAGTATGACTTGCATTTTCATTACCACATTAAGTATATGATAATGATGTGAAAACAAAAAATCATGCAATACTAAGTATTTTGTAAGATCCTCTTTATAGACCGTTTCTACCATTAGAACTAAAAGGAAGTTTTATTATAGGCTTGACTATGGACCCAAAACTGGATTAAGTAACTCTAAGTTCATGTACCAATATGATGATAACTTCAGATTGACTTCGTTGCAAGGTAGGATTGGAGGTCAAACTTTACCAGAATACTCAGTTCAATATAATCCAAAAACTGGAGCCAAAAGTCAAATGGGACAATTTATGGTAAGAATGAAAATTTTTCATCTGACAGTTTTTTCAATGAAGGTTAAAATTGAAAAACTAAGTGCAATTTATTGTAATTTTAGGTTACCTGGCCATCAACCAACGAGACCTCATTATCTGATTCCACAGCAGTTTTTAGCAGGATTTCGAATAAACAGTTTCAAGTTACACAAGTTACTGTTACTATACATAGGATGGAAGTTTTCCGAATGGAGTACACTTATGATTCTAGAAAGTGAGAAAATAACTTGTCAATATTTTGTAGAGATAATGCAACTGATTAAATTTTAAACATAATTTTATTTTCATTACAGTCGTATAAGCCAAACTCGAACTTATACTCGTAATGTTGGGGTGAATACATACATTAATGTTAAAAATTTGACTTGGGATTCTGATGGTCAGTTGATAGCTGTTGAGGCACAAGAGCCCTGGGGTTTCAAATATGATGCCAATGGAAATATGTTATCGCTCACTTACAGGTAATTATTAATTTATTTTTTAAATTGTTTCCTCCTATTAACACTTATGTTGAATGTGTGTATGTGATGTAAAATAATTTATTGGTTATTGAATCCTGATGATAATAGAGTCTATCTGCTTCATCAGATGGTAATAATAGGCAATTAGTACTTTTAAGTCCAGTAAGTTGACAGATAAAATGTTTTATCAATGTTTTAATTAATAAAAAATAAGTTAATAAAGTGAAATATAATATTGTTTATTTAAATGTTTAGTTCTAAAGTTTGAATTTATTTAGCACTTTTAAAATATATATGAAAGATAATTGATAATTATTATTATTTGTTTTATTTTTAATTAATAAACCAGCTCAATAGGCAGATATTCTATACCTAAATATTTAAATTATTTTAATTTATGTTAAATTAACTATATCAATAATTACTTTGAAAATTATCATATATCATAATTAAATTAAATAATCATAATCCTACTACAATGGACATAATAAATCATCTAAGTAATTATTTATTTTAAAAAGTGTACTTATTGTAATCATGTGTTCTTTCAGAGGAAATACTATTCCTATGGAATATAATGCAATGGACCGTATTGTAAAATTTGGTGATGGACAGTACAGATATGACAATAGAGGATTAGTTGTTCAAAATGCACGTGAAGAGAAATTTCATTACAATGCTAAAGGTTTATTGGTGAGCAAATTTTTAATCCTCAACTTTTTATTCCCGTCACACCAGGTCACTATAGGAAGTTAAACCATTATTATATACCTATGGGAATTATAAATAACTGTTTTATGTTATGGACATTTTTATTTGAGTGAATAACTATACTGGTTACCAATATAAGGTTGTATCAACAATATTTCCACAAACCCATGGTAGGGCCAGATCCAAATTTTCCATATATAAATCAAGGCTGAAGACAATGGTCGCCTCCAGGAAATTAATAAGAGATTATAGGCTAAATTACTCAAGAATAAATATTGTTATAACTGTTAGTGATAACATTGTTCACATAGGATTTCCAAGCTAATTTACTGGAGGGTTTTTGAAAAATCTACTTTTCTATTTGGTGACTGAATTTTCTTAATTTTCTAAGCACTTAATTTTCTTTATTCAGAGATTTAAATTGATTGCTCAGCAGTTCCATCCGCTTTTGGGATCGATGGGTCTGTTGGATCTAACCTCATTATGACCTCAGTGTTGTAATTTCTCAATTTATTTTATCATATTTATTTCCATTTTACATTCTATCTATATTTATTTCTGTTTTTAAACTCATCAGCTCCGTAGGCTGTTATTTCCTTCTGTATTTTTTATGTTTTTTTTAACCTTCCAGAAATGTTAACCTTTCATTGAAACTTATCAGATCTTTCCTAAACTCAGCATAAATAGCTGTCCATTATTGCTAGATTCAATCAATTAATTGAATCCTTCAATGGAATTAGCACTAAGACTAGGAACTTGTTCTGAGAAAACATGATGTTGTAATCAAATCATCAGATGAAAAATATTAAAACTGAGCAAATTTTATTTTTTGGAACAAGAGATTGAGTATCTTTTACATTGAGCATTTATGCTTTATAAGTTCATATTTTCATCTCAGAACCTACAATAATTCAATACAAATGTAAAATCAGTCTTGCTTTATAGCCGTGAAACATGGAAAGTAACCGAAAGGAGGGGTGCCCAGAAGAGAGTTTTATGATGCAATTTGCGTCATCAACATTTTTGATGGGATTTTGAATTTTTGAGGGGAGTACATTTCAACAGGGTCATGAATTTTCAGAATAAAAAGTTTCATAATAAGAGGAAAACATAGAACAGACAACTGCAAGTGTAATTATGTATGATCCATGATTATTCTAATTATACTTTCCTTTCCTCAGTTTTTAAGAAAATATTAGCAATAAAATATCTTGGGAGGGGAGGGAGAGGTTGTTGCGCCATCAATCTTGGGGGGATGGGCACCCCTGACCGAAAGCATCACATTTGTTAACTGATGGCTGTGAAAGATTACTGGGAATTGGGTGACCAGAACACTTATCAAATGAAGGACTATGAAAAGCCACCAACCAGCTACCAATCCATTTAGAAATAAATAAGTGAAAATGGAAAAGAGTAGGGCTCACCCTGAGGAAAAAAGATGAGGCAATACAAAAACAGCCCTACATTGGAACACTCAAGGAAAAAGAAGAAAAAATACACCAATAGAGAAAGGTGCAGGTCCGCAGATAAGGGATTAGGTCTGGTTGGCAAATCATGGAATGAGGCAAGGAGGATTGCTCCTGATTACTGTTGGAAAGTACTTGTGGATGCTCTATGCTCCAGTGGGAGTCAAAGGAATTAATAATAATTATAACATATATGTTTTAATAATGAGTACCATTATTTTTGAATATACAGAAATATTCTGACCTGTACTGGAATAACTAGTTTTCTAATATTTTCCTAGGAAGGGCTTTCTACAAAATCTTAAAGTTAGGAATATATGTGTGTACAGGACAAGGCCATGAAATATTGATGAATTGTAACAAATTTTTAATATAAAAGAATTATTTAAATGCATAAAGAAAAATTCTAATTTTTAGATTAGATACAAGATACTAGATAGATAGATACAATTTATAAATTTTCCAAAATCATAAGCGGGTTGCTATAAATGGTCTGGACATCACTTTTGCCTTTTCCTGTGAGAATGATCAAAGTATTTATTAAATTTGAATTATTTTTCTCAACTACATTTTTATTCAAAGAATATTTAAGAACATTTATAAATATTCATTTTTAAAATAATATTTATATAGTTTTAATAAGTATTAATGAAATTGTGGGTAGATGGCTGACTGTAGTGAATAATTGAAGAGAAGGATGGTTGGGGTGATCAGTCAAAATAAAAAATAGTAAAAATAAATAATAATATTTCTTTTTACATTTGCCAATGTTTCGGCCCAAAGTTCAGGCCTCCATCAGGGCTGAAATTCGAGCCAAAACGTCGGCAAATGTAAAAAGAAATATTATTATTTATTTTTGCTATTCTTCATTTTGACTGATCACCCCAACCATTCTTCTATTCTATTAATGAAATTCTTTTTATCCATACCATTATCATTTACACGTTTCATACCATTTAAATTTTGTTTTTCTCCTTAGGTACGAGCTACTAAAAGAGGCCGATTTGATGTCAAATATTACTATGACCATCTTGACCGGTTATCCACAAGAAAAGATAATTATGGAAATGTTACCCAATTTTTCTACACCAATCATAAAAGGCCAGACGAGGTAACTAATCTCTTATTGATTCATGCACAACCATAAGGTTCTGAATCTTTCCAAAAAATTCTAACCATTGAAGTTATCTTGTAATTGTTGATATAATTTAAATTTTTGCCATTTCAGTGATTCTCAATTGGTTGGTTATCATATTTTTCTATGAAGTATATATTTTATTATATTTGGAAATGATTAATTATTGCTGTTTTTTTAACTTATTAAAATAATAAAATGATTGATTTCATTCTATAACTTAAATAGTTACTATAGTAATAAAAAATAATAGTTTAATTTCTGTTTACTATTTTAGGTTACGCATATCTACAGCCCAAGAGATGGCAAACTTATGTCTCTGACCTATGACGATCGAGGTCACCTTATTTTTGCACAAGTCTTCAGACACAAATATTATGTTGCAACAGACCAATGTGGGACCCCAGTGATGATTTTCAACCAGTATGGTGAAGGGATTAGAGAAATAATGAGGTCACCTTACGGCCATATAGTTTATGACTCTAATCCTTATTTGTACTTACCTGTTGATTTTTGTGGAGGCTTGTTAGATCAGGTATCTATGGGGTTTTAATTTTTGAAATTTATTTTCTCTTAATTTATTTTTAAAACCCGTCATAATCAATAAAACTGTCACTCCAAGCTAATTAAGTAACCTTGAATAATCAGAAAAATAATGGTAAAAATATAATTGAAAAAACTCTATTGAGAGCACTTTTATCAAGAATTAAAGCTGTAATTGAGGTTGTTCGGCTTTTTTAATTCAGCTTCGGAATTCCCAAAAGTTGTTTACACTCTACCTTTTAAATATGAAAAATTGGAATAAAAATGAAAATTAAATCCTAGTATCACATGTAGCAAACAGTTTATAATATTATCTATATATCACAACACTTACCCTCTTGGTTAACTTAATAACAATAAAAGAACCCTTACTAACAGCTATGTACTTGAGATATATTATAGAATGGTTTGGGAAAAAAACTAACACTTAACCAATGATCAAGTCCATGACTAATGGCATCATTTATTATATCTGATTCAGAGAAAATTAACGAGTGGATCAAAAAGACCTATAGAAATATATAAACAATTGAAAATGCTGAGACTTATTATGAATAGACGCTATAAATCCGATCACACTATAATACATAAACTTAAAATTATTGACTATTTATATTGAACGTTTCAATATATTGTACGTCAAATTTTCAAATGTCAACAGCATTTCTGTGGTAAAATATATTTATAATTTATTGAATCCCATTAATCATATCCTAAGCATCTTTTGTGGTACATGTCAGAGGTATATGCCTCAGGGTGCTACCACCTTCAAGACTTACTAAGCCACTTTAATTTTCTTTTTTATCAATCTATCTTTTACTAGTTTATCTTTAGATTATTTAAGATCATGAAATCTGTTTTAATAAATCTCTAATTATAAACTTTACTTTACTACTTTACAGAAACTAATATTGTTTCTGTTTTAGTTTTAAGTTTATTTGATAATGTTATTTTACTGATAAATTGGTATTATCATTTATAACTGTTTTAGGTCACTTCCTTAGTTCACATGCCTGGTGGTAAAGTTTATGACCCACTGATAGGTCAGTGGATGTCACCATTGTGGCAAGAAGTTGTACAAAAGCTTTCAAATCCTACAAAATTACATTTATATAGATTTAATGGAAATGACCCAATTAATGTTCATCAAACTCCTCACCAACTTGGAGGTACTTTTAAATCAATAATCTTTTTAATATTTTATCTATTCTTTAATTGGTAAAAATTATGTTTTAAATATATAAAAAATTGAAAGAAAGTTTAAAAATTCCAAGTTATGTATATTTACTTTTAGCTCAATGATTAGTTTGATGGTATAACAAGTAATTAATTTTCCTTGGTAATAAATTATTGGTTAGATATTCATTTTCATCTTAGCCTTCTTTTTTCTGTATAAATAATGGAAATATTTACCACTAGAAAATAACTGCATGAAAAAATTGTATAGTACGTATTATATAGTATAAATGATTTTTATTAAGGTTATAAAAATTAGATATGGCTAACTTTGTTATATTATATAATAAGAACCACCATTTTTTTTTTTTGTCCTTTTACGGAATTTAAAGCAACAGTCCTGAATGAAATTAAAAATAATAATATTATTATTAATATTAATAATATTTAGAAAATGTAATAATCTAGAGGAAGTTTTTTTGATTATTTTCCATTATCAATGTTATTCTATTGTTGTAGATGAAAGGAGTTGGTTGTCTCGGTTGGGATATGATATTGATAGTTTAGCACCTCAGCTGGATCAGGGATATCTCCAACTGCCTGGACTCCAAGGCTCTACGTTTGATTCTCCATTCACAGTGACATCTGGTTTTCTCTCCCACCTCTCAGAGAGATTTATGAAAAATAAGCTCTCTTCTCTGCCACAGTCACAAATAAGACTGAACCCAATTACTGTAGAAGACAGCTCAAACAGTGCTGACTTCAATCCAGTTAGAGCTGCCTTTGGTATTAGCAAACAGGCTGGGCTTGGGCTTGAACCAGGAGCTGAAGCACAACCTCCCTTTGGGAAGGGCATACTCGTATCAAGGACTCATGAGGGGCGTGCTATAATTCACAGTGACCCAACAGCAAACTCTATCTACAGGGATGTCCTCACATCAGTTTTCAATAACACTTTCCTTTTGCCTTTCACAATGGTGTTACATGGTAGTCTGCAGGATGCCTTCTTCTTTGTCAAAGAGGATGCTTGGAGAGCACAAGAGGATCAAGCACAATTGAAGCGATTTGGATCCCAGTTTAACACCAGCTTTATTGAAAAAGAAGGAGAAACAGGGTCAGGAAAGGTGAGATTTTTATGAATTTTATATACTATTATATTAAATTTATTAATGTTCAATAATAATTAAATAATTATTGATGCATTTTAAGTATATTTCAAATAGTATGCTTGGGAAAGTATTTCTTATTTTTAACCAATTTCTGAAAGTAGATTTTAATTTCTTGTATACCAATCTAAATGAAGATTTTTTCATCATAGTTTGCTATTTTACCTTAAGAGGTGAATCGTGCCTGTTTCACCCGTTTGTATAATCACTCTAATTGTACTTCGCATGCTGTAATAGCATGTGCAATCAAGACATTTTTTTTTCTTAAATCATGTGTTATGGGTGTCAGATTTTGTCAATCAAATTCACTGTCACATTGGTGGATAATAAACTGATAATTAAAAGTTTTGAGGATGAATATTCTGCTCTTGATGATAAATTTGAGTTATGTTTTGCTAATTATAAGTCTCTTGGTTAGTAACAATTGTAAATGTCTGTGGATTATGCCATCTAGTCTTATAGCATTAACTGAACCTCCATAGTTGAGTTTGTAGCGTTCCCTTGATTCGTAATGAATTAATTTTTATTTCTATTATACATTTTTTTCTAATAGAGTCGTATAATAATAATTTTAATACATTTAAAGAAATAATTAACTAATTGATTATCAAGTTTAAAAAAGTAGTGTACCTAATAGTGATTTAAAAAGAAAAAATATTAAATCCATAATAGTTCATGTAGTGTCTAGGGAAAAGATGCTGGTATTCGTTTCCAATTGCTACCTTAAAATTCTTTCTCATCAAGTCAATTGTATATTTCTATTACCTTTCAAATGCATATTTAACTTATTGATAAATTCAAGATCTTCTTCTTCTCTTCTTTGTCTTCCTCTTATGCCATTAGTTAGCATAGAGGAGCCTCAATCCAGCGCAACGACTCTTCCCGGTCGCTGCTTAGCCGCTTCATCTCATTGAGGGTTTTGTCTCTTTTACATCCAATTCTTTGAATATACTGGTATGTGATTCTGGGGCATCCGCGTGGTCTCCTTCCTGTGGATCGAGCCTCTAATATCCTTATAGGATTCAAGTTCTCATTCATGCGGAAGACGTGTCCAAACCACTGGAGTTGCCGTCTTTCTAGAGTGGTTTTAAGTTCGGTAACTCCTAGTTGCTCTCTGATGCTTTCGTTCCTAATGCGATCCCTTCTAGTTCTCCCAACAGATCTGCGAAGGAACCTCATTTCTGCTGCCATTATGCGACTAGAATGTCTGTCTAGCATTGTCCAGCTTTCTCTGCCGTAGGTGATTGTAGGTAGGTAAACAGACTTATATACGTGCATTTTGGTCTTCTAATCTATTTCGCGATGGCCGATAATGCTATTAGTAGTCTGGTAATACACCTGATTCGCCTTCCATATTCTGCTTGATATTTCGGCGTCTATCTTACCCGAGCTACTAATTACGGTCCCTAAGTAGTTATATTCAGTCACCACCTCAAGTGTCTCGCCATTGCAGATCAGTTGTACATCTTCCCGTTCTTCCCTTGCCATAACCAGCACTTTACTCTTGGAGGTGTTAATTTGTATCCCTTTTCTGAGCAACTCTTCTTCCCATTCTACCAGAGTTTGTTGTAGTTTGGTCTTGGTGTCGGCTATTAGGACTATGTCATCCGCGTATAGAAGGCTTTGTATGAGGGCTGTTTTCAAATTCCACTTCCCAATTGTTGTCCACGCAGTTCGGCGTTTACAGATTTTGTGGATTTCACCCATTGCATTTATAAATAGAAGGAGACTAAAGCTATCTCCCTGTCTAACTCGTCTCGCAATTGGAAAAGGTTCCGATTCCATACCATTCATCCTTACCACTGCCATGGCTCCTTGATAGGTTGACTGTATGGCCGCCAGCAAGTCTCCAGGTACACCCTTGGCTATTAGGGCATTCCAAATTTCTTTTCTTGGAACCACATCAAACACTGACTTCAGATCAAGGAACGCAAGATACAGATTTTTGTCTCAGTCCCAAGATTTTTGTCTCAGCAATATTTCTGAGAACAAAGATGTGATCCTGCGTCTCTCGGCCTGGACGAAAACCAGCCTGTTCCACTTCTAACTGCCCTTCCACAATCCATCGGAGTCTCCTTTCTAGCATAGAAGTATAAAGTTTATAGACTACTGATAGCAAACTAATGGTTCTATAATTTTTGCAGTCTGTGGTGCATCCTTTTTTAAAAATCGGGAGGATTATGCAATATTGCCAGTTCATGGGAATTTTCTTTCTATCATATACTTCTTGACCACCGAATTTTAAATATTCTGGTGCAATTCCATCCCTTCCTGATGCCTTACCTCTTTTTAACTTATGGATTGCATTTTCTATTCCTTCTTCCTCTATAACCTCCAGGCTTTCTTGAATATTGGGCTCTTGTTCTTGGCAATGGTCTGTTTCTGGGTTTTCGGAGAATTTTTCCTGGAAATATTCCTTCCATCTGCGGAGGATCTTTTCCTTGTCTGTAAGTACGATTCCATCGCTACTTTTTACATTTCTAATAGGCTTGCATTTTTTTTTTTTTTTTTTTTTTGTTCTTCCCTACATCGCCTTTTAGGCTATACGGGATTTTCCCGGGCCGGAGGGTGAGGGCGGGGAAATTTAAAATTCCCTCCGGCACCGGGACGCGAATTCGTACTTTTTATATCATCTCAAATCTCTGTTATCCGGTTGCCAGGCAACTAGCGGTGCTGTTACACACGCTTTAGCCTATTCGGCCACCCCGTCCCCTAATAGGCTTGCATTGTTTTTCTCTTAACATCTTAACTTTTCACCAAAATGTTATTATAGATCCACGATGATCCTCGCTCAGCCTTTTACCAAACTCCTCCCACGACTTCTTCTTCGCCTGGCGTATGGCTACCTTACATTGATTCCTGGCTATTCGATAAACGTGTAGCTTTCCTTCAATTCTATCCTTAAGGTATGCTTTCCAGGCAAGCTTCTTCCGTGAAACTAGTCGTTGGAGATCATTGGTCCACCAGTCTGTCCGCTTTCCCTTACCAGACACTTTCTTCTTCCCACAAACTGTATTTGCTGTTTCCAGAATACATGTTTTCAGTGCCTTCCATATCTCTTCCACATCCCCATCGAATGACGTTTCTCTTAATTTATTTTCCAGAAGAATTCAAGATCATGTTTAAAAATACTTTATATTCTTAAACATGATCATAAGTTTAATTTAAAGTTAAATTATAATGTTCATCATCTAACGGTAAAAATGTCAAGAGTGGGCATTGGATAAATGAGCAATACAATTTTTAAACCATTTGATTAATTAATTTTATAAGTAAGTTCTTCAAAATTTTCTTGAACAATATCCATAATTAATCATGGTTTATTATTTTTTATAGGTATTGGATGTCAAGATACATCGGCCAAATGCCATTATCAATTTAAGGTATGGTACAACTATTGAGAGGGAAAAGCAACGCTTATTGCACCATGCAAAGGCTGCAGCACTGCGAAAGTTGTGGCATAAAGAGAGGGATGCACTTCGTAATGGGCTCCCTACTACACGTGAATGGGCTCAAGTAGAAGTAGAAGAACTCCTCAAGTCTGGCTTCGTCAGCGGATTTGATGGAGAACATATTCGAGATGCACAGCGATACCCAGAACTTGCAGAGGACCCATATAACATAAGATTTGTGAAAAAAGCTCGATAAGTGAGACTGCCCCTCCAAACAGCCCGCCCAAAAACAAAATCACAGTATTATAGTTAGTTTAACTTTATAATTTGGGGTGTTATTAGATGTATTTCCTTTATGACTGTTTTTAACTCATGGATATACCCGAGAGGTCCAATTGTTGAATGTTTTAATTTTTAGATTGAGATGTTTAGAATATATATGTATGTGTTCCTATGATATTGTGTTATATATTTCACACTGTTTTGCAATGTTATTTAATTGGTGTGTCTAATACCCGAATTATATGTGTTAAAAAACTATAATGAATGATGAGCACAGATTTAAAGTTTTGTACTAATGACTTTTTAGAGCTTATGTATATAATATATATTTATATTGAAAAAGAGACTATTATTATAAGAATATGTATAGTTATTCGATTTGTTATAAAATTAAGATTTGTAAGCATTTTCTATTTGAAAATTATCTTTTTTCGATTGATGAAAATGCTTGTGAATAAACAAACTTTAATGACTGTTTCTGAGATAAGTATTTCATTGGCCTACGTGCGTACTTGTGGTACAGAACCATTTATGGCCTCTTCATTGGTAAGAGACAAAATCAGCATTTGTCCCGGGATAATTTTGTTTCGAGGATTGCATTTTTTAATTACCTGGTGCTATATTACTATTATCATAATTATTATAATGATTGAGAATTTTTTTTTTAAACCAATGCTCAATAAAAACATTGAGTTTGTACTTTTGCTAAAAGAAAATAAATGATAATTTGCCATCTTCAGTTAAAAATATAATGTACTTTTCTGTGATGTATCAATCTATACCTAGATCTTCTGAAAAGTAGCATTTTTCTGAATAAATTATTTTATCGAGTTTTGTGACAAACTTTCCAGATAGTGACAACATGAACATTCAATGGAATTTTTTATCTGAGTTTGTCACTAAATGTGTTCATGAAAACAATATATAAATGTTTAAATTTTCTATGGTCAATAGATTAAAAGATATCATGATCTAGATGTAAAATATAATACACATATAATTAATATACTTAGAGCTATGGATAGTTTCTCTTAAGCATGATACTAAACACTGTTTCATTGATATTTGTTTAAGTGTTTGCATGTAGAATCCATAAAAAAAAATAATATGTGCACCAAAGAAAATATATATGTATAAGATACCTATCTATATGAAAATTAAATCCAACAATATTACTTTAAAATATTCATTGTTTTCATTTTCATTATTTCATTTGATTTTGGAATGGTATATTTAGATTTGTTCTAAATTTTATGATAAAAAATTAGCTTATGAAAAGCAGCAACTATTTTAAATATATGAGAAAAGTCTTACAGATTTGAAAATTTGATTGATTTTCTTCAACATCAGGATACTTTCCTTAACAAACTAAGCTGCTAATTTGTTACAGTTTTTCTATGTTGTTAAAGAAACAGTCTACTAATGACGATTTCATTTTTTATTTTTTTAGAGGAATATATTTCATTCTTATTAATAAATGAAAAAAAAAGAAAAAAAAAACATTGTGAATATGTGAATAAATCTTGGATGAACTCTTGAAAAGAGAAGTGATTATGTGTCAGTATTTTTCTAGCATTGACTACGCATTCGTCCAAAAGCTAAGTGAAAGATGGGTGACTTGTCTCCTAACTTTGAAAAGTTTGTGTCATTACAGGCTCATGTGAATGAGAATTCCTATAAATGCCAAAATAATTTTTGAGAAAAGACTCTTAAATTTTTGTATACAATAAAAATTTAATGCCAAAAATGTTATGTTTTATAAAAAGAAATATTATTAAAAAAAAAACCTGCCGAAATTTTTTCTAAATCATTTTATATGTGTTTATTGATTACAGAAATAAATGTTATCTTTTCTTCTATTTTTTTTATTTTTTATTTTACTTCTGATATTATTTAACTTTGTATAACAAAGTTATTTTTATTGAAAAGACTGTTCAGTAGAATTAATCTGTTTTTGATTAGGAATAATTAATTATACATTAAAGTGTGATATACAATAGGCAGGATGTTTTTTTCATGTGAAAACTTCCGTTTAAATTTTTGTGGAAATTTTTTGTGAAAAAATTTCACATTATATTAATGAGAAGCATGCCTGTTATTAATTATATTTATTGCTGTTGTAATTATTTCGATGTACTATTTTTAATTTTCTAACTATCTTTGTAAATATAAATGTCAATAATAATTGTAAAGAAAAAAAAGAAAAAAAAAACACTGCTTTAAATTTAGGAAATAGAGTTACCTTGTATAATTTGGCTTTCATGACCTATGCATATATTAATTTTATTTTTCTTAAACTTAGTTCGTGATTTATATTTTTCATGTTACCTATGTACAGAATATATTTTATAAACAATATTGAGTGAGTGTACGATATAGTATTTAAATGTATGAGAAAATGTAACAATTATTTGTTTACTGTACAAGTTTAAAATATCATTATGTGTAAAATATATTATCTGTTTTATATTTAAAAACCCTTCTCGTGATTAAATTTTTCCAACCCCTTTAAATTCTTTCCCAGTACTTATTAGTTCGTTTATTTCCTTTAATATCCAAGGTGTTAATTGAATAATGTTTAAATCATTGATCATAAACTGTGATGCCATTAGATTTGGTTCATTTGAAGGAATTAGATCTAATATTAGATTTTTTTTTTTATTAAAATAAGTTTATGAAAATTATTTAATATTTATTTTTTATATCCAAAGTATTCTCAATATATCTATTTATTTATTTGTAAAACTTTATTTATGTCAATTTAATGCACTAATCAGTCTCTATTCATTGGCACTATTAAAAATTAGAATCAATAGGAAATTTTCACATAATTCAGTCAATAGAAATTATTACTTCATAATTACTCTACTTTGAATAGAAATTATTTTCTGAAACATTGGGTTATTATAAAGTATTTGAAGTGTATTTTTAAAATAATACAAACCCTATTTATTACTTCCAGGGTATGCAAGAAAAATCTCATACCTCAATCTGTTTATAACAGAGATGGGCAAAATCGGAATCAATGTATCATGATTAAACCTGGAATGACCATTCCAGTTATATATTTGATTCAAAATAGCAAAAATGTGATACAATTACCTGAATATATTTGTAATCAGTAAACAGATCACTGTAAACGTAATCGTTGATTATGCCCATGTATGGTTTATAACTCAACCACTGTATCCTATCTCAATATCTGTTTTTGTAAACCTTATAGCTCCAGTCTCTGAGCTATATACAGTGGACATAAAAAGTATTCGTATAGCCTGTTTTTTGGCAGAAACGGTTCATTTTATTTTTTTTAACTTGAAATAATGGCATATATCAATTACAAACTTCATTTTGTGTAAATTTTAAGTAACACCAAAACTTAAAATCTCATCCAACTTTTATAACATTAATATTTCATTTGTACATAATTTACACACAAAAAAGGTATTCGTACACTAGAGCAAGTATTAATAATACAATAAATTTTGTTATCAAAACAGTGTTTTAACGTTACATTAATAATTCTTTACCTCAGAGAATTAAATGATAAAAATGAACAAGAAATTGCTTGTTCAGTTCAGTACTAAGGAATTTTTCTTGGCTATGGACCGTATGTCCAAAGAATTGAATTCTCATCATAAAGATGTATTTTCAACAGGGTATAAGTTTGCGGAATATTGGAAAAAAGTTCGGACTACCTCATACAATAATGCATTACATTATAAAAGAATTTAAAAACTGATCAGTGGACAACCCCGCCCAGGGAGAAAACACTTGTTGATAGTGCAAGAATCTCGTGAAATTGTACGTATTGTGGCAAAAAATCCCAAATTAAGTGCTTGAGAAATTTCGTCTCACGTTGCGCCAGCTTATGGGAAATCTTTACTTCATACCATGAGGAATCGGCTACATGAAGTTATAGAGGTAGAACGGTAAGAAAAAAACCTTCTATAAACGGAAAAAAAACAGAAAAAAAGGCTGGAGTTTGTCTGAGAACATGTAAATAAACCTTATGCGTTTTGGGAAAATTTGTTGTTTTCAGATGAAAGCAAGTATAATATATTTGGATATGATGAAAAAATATATGTTTAGAGGAAAGATATTTGGGCACCAAAATCTTCAACCCACAGTGAAGCACGGAGGGGATACCATGGTTTGCAGCTGCATGGGTGCTGCAGGAGTTGGTGAACTAGCCTTTAATGACGGAGTTATGAATGCTGACAAATATGTGGATGTGTTGCGATGCTATTTAAATAAAAGTGCTCAAAAGTTTGGAATGGAGGACATGTAAATGTTTCAACAGGACAACGATCTCAAGCATATGGCCAATAATACCAAAGAATGTCTGCTATATAATGTTCGCTAAATGCTCAAAACACCTCCACAATCACCAGATCTTAATCCAATTGAAAATTTATGGGTGCTGCTGGAATTGAAAATCTGAAAATACTTTTGTTTCTCTCGGAATGACTTAATAAACAATCTTAAGAAAGCTTGAGAAGAAATTGGACCAGAGGAGACTAAGAGGCTCATAGAATCGATGCCAAGAAGACTCAATGCTGTGATAAAAGCGAAATGCTACCCTACAAAATGCTAAAATTAATTGAGACTGATATTTATGCTTACCATTCGTAGTTCACACTAGTTGTAAGTGGATAATGTTGTGTTGTGATCATACAAAGGAAAAATACATCAAATTATTCACTATTTTAAAAACTGCTAAATGATGATTTTTTTTTTAAATTAACCGATGATAGATCTATAATTATTTAAACATATTATCAGAACTCAAGTTATAAAACTACAGTAAATATACTTCAGGTTATAAACACATATTTTACACATCCATGAAATATTTTTATATTTCACTTCTTCTGTTATACAAGTACAATGAAAAAATTATTAACTACTTCATTGTCTTGATTTGATGGATTTAATGTACATTTTTTTTAAACTTAAAATAATTTTAAAAGTTTACATTTAGTTTGGAAATTTCATTTCATATCCTTGGAAACATTAGTTTTACATTAAATAATATTAGTTTTTTAGAAATTATTCACTACTTGGTATGTACGAATCATTTGCATAGAATATTGGACAGTGAACAACTAATATAATATAAAAATAAGTTAGTGATATGTTATATAAGAGAGAAGAAATAATTATCTTTTTTCTCAGTCAAATTACATAAATTCAATCAAACTAATAATCCTAAATATGTGTTCATGATTATAGGCTGTATCTTTGTAAATAATGGTCCAATTTGTTTTGTAGAGAATTTAGTAAATTTTCAAATTATCATGGGTCTAATCAAGAAAAAAATGTATTTGCAAGTATTTATGTTACTCGCAAATAAAGTTTCTTGTCATTCATAACTTTTTTCACTGAAATTTTGAGTGGTTGTTACTATGATTGGTCACTGCTCCATTTAATACCCTTTGGTTTAATAGCTCATTTATCAAAATTCATCATTCATCATTTATCAAAAGTGGCCAGAATGAGCACCATTGAAATACCAAAGAAAATAATGATGCAGGAGCTGCTCCTCGTAAGACGGGTAGGAAGTCCGAGGACAAGATGGTTAGACAACGTGGCCTATGATGCGAGAACCCCGGGAACTGGAGAGCTGCAGCAGAAGACAGAGCCAACTGGCGGAGGCTCTTGGAGGAGGCCCAGTCTCGGTAACGGGATGTCGTGCCACATATGATGATGATGATGATGATCAAAATTCATCGCTCACGAGAGCTGGAAAAGGGATCATTAAGGTGGAAAACTATTGTATTATATTATAAAGATAGATAATTATTTTGTCACTTTTTATTAGTTTCTATGACTTTGTATCTTAGATATTGTTTTTTCTAAAATGCTCAACTATCCAACAATATAATATACCTATACCCAGTAGAGCACATTCCCCCCAAGATTATAAGGCATTTTTTACTCTCAAAATTTATTCAATTAGAAAACTATTTCCTTTTTTAACAAAAAAATTTGGGATTATTTTCTCATGCTTTTACTGATTTTATTGGATTAGAGGTTTAAAAATTGAAATATCATATTTAAAATCAGAGATACATTGCAACAACATTTAACTGAACAATCAGTTATATAGGAGTACAGTTTGTGTAGTAAAAGATGAAATGGAAATACGTAAGCTTGTCTGATATAGAAAATGGTACATTAAAAAAAATCTTTTTTTAACATTGGGATATTATTTTTTATTTGAAAGTGTGAATAATATATAATATTATTATTTGAATAATATTTAACAAAATATTGGAAATTGCAGACCACTTAAATCTTAGGTCAATAATATGAAGTTAGAAATAATGTTAAGTGTGTGTAATAATTTAAATTAGAAGGTAATTCACAAATTAAAAAATATTAAACAGTTACATTAAATAGGTAAATATAATTATCAACTCAGTTTTTTACTGTTTCTGAAACTTCTATATATATATTGAATCATATCACCAGGTTGAAATTATCAGATTATTTAAAGAATTTTAATAAAATAATAATTTAAAAAACAAAGTTTTATTTTAATTGGTTGACAAATCCATTCTAAAATCGATTATGTTGAGAACTACAAAAAATTTACTACTGTAGAATATATTAACATTACGATTTCCATAATTTCTTTTTTATCTCTTGAAAATGTCAATAAATGGTTTTGTAACTCCATTTATGACAGCTCCACTAGCGGTAACAGCACCTCTGACAACACTTTCTGTAGCATTACCAACTCCTTTTCCAACTGCTCCTATTCCATTTCCAACACCTCTTCCCACAGAGGAAATGTTCTCACCAGTGAACGTACCAGCTGATCTCACAAAATCTCCAAGAGGTTCAAAAACTAAAAAGTGAAACAATATGGCAATTTTAATATATTAATTTAAAGCATACACAATACAATACGTATGTGATTAAAATTAATTACCTGAGCTCTTATTAATGTATCATAAAATAAAACTTCATAAAAGCTTTAGGTTGAACACCTCTGTTAAAATGTGGTACTAGAGGTATTCTGAATTGGCACAAGACCGGAGCCAACCCATTGAGAATATTTATTATTAAATTTAAAATTAATTTTTATTAGTAAGCATTGTAATATTTTCTTTTCTTTCAAGTTTTATAAAGAAAAATCAAGGTAATATTAAATTTGGCTGTAAAGTAATCAAAAAATGGACTCAGGAATTATCTGATGAACATAAGAGAAAGAAATCAATCAATAACAACAGGAAAATAATTACAACACAAAACAAAAATAAACTTTGTACTTAGAGACTTTGCTGTACATTTGACCACAATTATAGAGAAATAAATTTGAAACAACTGTATTGCTAAATAAGATATTCTATGTTCATATGCTAGATACCTGTATTACAACTCTGATATGTCTCTGGCAATTCAGGAGTCAGTGCTCTGTCAAAAAAACTCAAACCTGTATAAAAACTTTAAATAAAAGAAGTTTGGTTTCACCAGCATAACACAACTATAGCTATCGTTTTGTTTGAATTGGGCTAAAAATTTAAAAAGCGATTTAGATTTGATTCTATTAATTGCTTTGAGAATGATTTTAGGAACATCAAAACCATGTTAAATATCTTTGAAACGATGAGCTACCGAATTTTCTAACGTTTAAGATTAAAACTAATCAAAATGTATGATAGCGCTCTCAATCAAGAAAAATAGGGGAAAGTTTTGTTGGCTTGGTTTTTATGGAAAAAGAAAATATCAAAATGTTGAAACTTTTTGGTTTTTCATATTTAATTTAAAAATTATAATTTTTTAATGAAATTCCTCAAATAATCCAACAATGTAGTTTTCTATTACAAAGGGAGTGGTAGAAAATAATTTTTTTGGGCCATTTCGCTGTGATGTAAGAAAGAAAGAATTGTAAATTATTGTCTGGGACATTCAGTCCCCTAAGCATGATTACAATGAAAAATTTAGTGACATTTCTCTGGCATAGAAGTTGATCATCTTCTTGTTGTTAGTTAAATTACATTGCTATCGAGTGTGTTCACAAATAAACGATAGATAATATCTAGGTTTCTGTAAGATAACAATAAAATGAGGCTGACATCTCCAAAAAAATATATAACATTCTAACATATATTCGGAAGATTGATATCTAGGAGATGGAAAATAAATGGTTTTTAAATGAGGTTAAGAATGAGGATTTGCTTGTGGAAGTAGCTAAGGAATTCCAAAATAAGGTAGCACATATGAGAATGGATTTTTTAAAGGAAACAGTACTATGAGGAGAAATAAATAGATTTTGGGCTGGGATCTCTGTTGAATGAATGGATAGAGGAGCAAGCAGTTAACAAATCAATGAGGTAAGAGAATTTTTTGGATGCAGAGATTCAGAAAAGGAAAAAACATAGGAAATATTGCGGTCAGAAAAACTAATGTTAACGTTTGTCACTGTATATTAAATATAAATGTACTTTTAATTTATTTTATGAAGTTTAATAGCATGTACGATTTATAGAAACATAAAAAAAAAAAAAAATAAGGTTTCAGGTAAAATTTCTATCTGCAATGCTTGGATTCCTTTTCAGTGATGCATAAAACTAGGGCCAATAAATGCATTAAATTGCTTTTTGGAAGGTTCACCAAATGAGATTAATTGAATCATATCAGTAAATTTGTGTTTCATAACTTTCTTAGCTCAAAAAAAAATATTTGAGCGACTAAATTCATATTTTATCTGCCCAAAAATGAAGGAAATTTTTAAATTTTAAGTCAAACTGATATATATTTTTTATGATATATACCTATTTTGTACGATACCTAATAATGTATGATGTGTATATTTTGTATGATATATATATATATATATAAAATTCAATTGTACATGTAGATTATAAGACGCAAAACATAACTTACATTCGTTGATTGCTTACAACGCACTTACCCGGTCTGCCGTTGCTCATTGTTGCTTCTATCGGAATCGCAGCCTCAATGTCAGCAAACAGGAAAACCCAGCCTTATATCTCAACCACTTTAATAGGAACGAATCTATCAAAGTTATGGAGGGGAAAACACATGATCTAATGCAAATGTCAACGCATTTGCTTATCATTATATAGTATATATAAATGATAACCAACTAATATACCAAAAATAGAAATTGGTTTTTCATGTATTTTATTAATTTTAATAAAATGTATGAGAAAAGAAACGTCGCATTAGTAGTTTCCGTGGAAATCGGAAATACAAAGCCATAAATATTTATTGATTTTGATAAATATTATTGAGCCATAAATATTTATTGTTTGTTAAATATTACTGGGCAATAAATAATTATTGAGCTCTTCACTTTTTTAAATTATACCTATCATGTATAATTTTTTTTATTTCTTTATGACATTTACGACTGTATTACATAAATACATCAAGTAAATTTGGACATAATAGATATAATGACATGAATACACTTCCTGAGTAACTACCCAATGGTAGCACTCTAATGATATGACTACATTAGGAGATCAGGGCTGTATAATTTAATACATTATGTCGCTCTGTGATTGTTACATTGTTATGTGATTAATAGTAAAAACCCTGTGGTACTATTTTATCAACAGTGACTTTACAATCAGTTGAACATTTATACGTTCACGGATACACTGGTGAGTTACAGTTTATAAACAATGAACATGTGATAAATTGGTGCTCGTTCGGGTAGCCTAAATGGCCGTTAATTCCTTTGCCGTTCTTATCTTACATACGTTAAGTTCAAGGCCAAGCTCTGTATACTAGCTCTCTCGTCACTTGGTCTCAGTTCGAAACCAAAGACTAATAGATTTTTTTTTTTTAATTTTTCCTCCCAGAGACAGTTTTGTTTTAATTATTTTTTATCTTGTTTATTTATTCTCAGAAATGTTTTGTTTTATTTCTGTTTCTAACTTTGTAAACAGCTTATTATTATTTTTTTTTTTAAGAATTTGTAAATATTTATTTTTGTAATTCTATCATGTGAAGATTCAGATGACGAGACACCATTTTCGGAAGTTAGCGAAAGTGATTCGAAAAATCTGAAAAGACGCTCACTTCAAAAACGTCACAGAAACTCAGCCCCCGGGTCAGCGGGCAATTCACCTAACAAAAAAAAAAAAAAAATAAATCGACAAAATCTAAATTGTCAGCCGAACAAAATAAATCCAAACAAACAGCCGAGCAAAATAAATCACCATCCAAAACTAGAAGCAAAACAAATATTAAAAAACCAGCGCCAACTGCATCAACTACTTCAGCCAGCCATAATTCTGTTCCTGTTAGTAACCCACCAATCAAGCCTTCGGAGCCTCAAGCTGACCCCGAGCCGCCACCTATTTTTGTTTCCAAAATGGAAAATTTCATATTATTTGGTCAAGAAATTGCTGTCCTGATAAGACAGACCAATTTTCGCTGTTTTCCAGAGTAAACGACACAAAAATTAACACAAATTCAAGAAGTAATTATAAAACACTAATTTAATACTTCACATCTAAAAACTACGATTTTCACTGTTATCAGTTGAGACAAGAAAAGGCATACCGAGTGGTCTTGAGAGGCCTACACTCAACCACCCTTATATCCGTTATCAAGTCTGGTCTGGAAGAAATAGGTCACAACGTTAGGCATATTTCATGCGTATTACATCCAACGCAGAAATATTCATTACCTTTATTCTTCGTTGATTTAGAGCCTGCTAGTAATAACCCCGAGATATTTCAAGTTAACCGGCTTATATATTCAACAGTTAAATTTGAAGAGCCTAGAAACAAACCAATATTAGTGCAAAGCACTAAGTGTCAAGAACTCGGACACACAAAGACCTATTGCCATCATCAGGCCAGGTGCGTAAGATGTGCCGGCTTACACGCATCTAACACATGTCAGAAACCAGCCTCCTAAATGTGCTCTCTGCGGCGAATACCACCCGGCAAGCTATAAGGGATGCATAATCTACAAAAATCACTATTAGCTATGATCTCGGAACATGGCCTTAAAAAGCATTCAACATAATCAACAAAGTTACACCGAACCACCAGAAATTGGAAATATTTCAAATTTTCTAGAATTGCCAACAAAAATTACTCATGTCACACAACAGGAAGCGTCTACTTCAACTGACTTCTACCATCCTCGTCAGGACTCCTGCAAAACTTACACACAAACCACTATCAAGAAGCAGGAACTTCGAAGTCAGGCGCCTCGGAGCTCCCAATCCAAACCTCATACTCCCAATCCTCAATCTCATTCTCCCCGTCAGCAAATTCCCCCTCATCATCTACCCCTACGAGTAAAATTACCGCCACAGTACCCTCAGCTACCTCAACCTAATGTTCAGAAAAAAAAACGCACAAGCACCTTTGATTCCAGACCCTCCTCGTATACAACGACGGATGCCGCCCTTAATTAACACTCCTAACCCGCCACAAGAACCTACCCTAAACTCACTTCACAACCAACATCCATCCTAACTATAACTCTCATTCTATCATCCTTCCTATTGGACCTCCAAAATACTATAAAACCTCTTATTACTCTCCTCACAAGAATCCTTACCGAAATTCCCTTTAATCCCTCGCGATGAGTACAAAGCCCCTAGCTGTTCTTTTATGGAATGCTAATTGACTACACAACCACCGAGACGAACTTGACATTTTTCTTCATGACTACCACATTGACATTGCTCTACTGACAGAAACTCTCTTCACACAACGTTCATATTTCTACATACGTGACTACATCACTTATAGATCAGACCACCCCGACAACACTTCCCATACCGGTTTTTGCATCCTTATCCCATTCTCTTATTCCTTCTACTCTAACTGAGGCTATTCAAGCAACATCAGTAATGATTTAACCCGTCCTTTCCATTTAACAGCTGTATACTGTCCTCCTGGTCATACTCTTACCTACAACTTACTTGAATCCTTATTTCAATCCTTCGGATCGCGCTTTATTGCAGGAGGAGACTATAAATATTATACTTTACTATAAATACTTTATCGAGCATCCAACTCCCGTGGTAACATACTATCTTCTCTCTCAACTTCCAATAGTTACTCTGTCCTTTCTCCTATTGGCCAACTTCCCTCAGAAAACGCCCTGATATCCTGGACATATTTTTCACCTCCCAGATTTCCTCTTCCCATGTCACAATCAAATCCCTGTATGACCTCTCCTCAGATCATTCTCCAGTTCTGCTTTCATTACATACCTTCGCTCCTAAGTCCACATCCCCTCATAGACTGATTACAGGTACGAGTAAACTGGGACAAATTTCGGAAAGATTTGGAAAACAAATTGGACCTAAATACTCCACTTAAGACGAAACATGACACTGACACAGCCATAGAAGTACTTACTACATCTATAAGTGACAAAATAAACGATAATATTTCTATCAATAAAATTAACAACTCCCAACAGACAAAATTGCCAGAGCATATTCGTATCTTATTAAGGGAAAAACACAGAGCAAGATCGAAGTGGTAAAGGACCAGATACCCATCAGATAAGACATATTACAATAAATTAACTAACCAACTAAAAACTGAAATTAGAAAATACAAAATTCAAAATTTACTTAACATGACAGAAAAACTTACTACTACTGACAAATCATTATGGTTGACCACTAAAAAGCTCCTTAAATTTAAATATTTCAACCACCCACTTATTACTGAAACCCAAACCTGGTCCAGATCGGACGAAGAAAAATCTCAAATATTTGCTCAGCACCTCTTCAAAACATTTAATCCACACCCAGATATCCTTAATCCAACCCACCTTAAGTTTATTGAAGCAGAATTGGATATCCCACTCCAACTGACTCCTCCACCTAAAGCATTTCATCCTTCAGAAATATCCAATATCATTCATAGATTACCTTCCCGCAAAGCTCCTGGCCATGACCTAATCACATCCCAGATCCTAAAACTGCTTCCTAAGAAAGCCATACTATTCCTCACCTATATATATAACGCTGTACTCCGAAACACATATTTCCCTGACCCTTGTAAACTATTCATTGTCAAAATGATACCTAAACCCATGAAGCCGCCAGAACACTCATCCTCTTACTAACAAAAAACTAACGAAAAACTCACCTTAAAACGCCTGTATTCTATCCTAGACTCTAAACAAATTATCCCAGATCAACAATTTGGATTCCACTCATCCCACTCCACTATTCAGCAATGCCATCGTGTGGTAGATGTAGTCTCCTCTGCATTGGAGCGCGGAATGTACTGCACGGGAGTCTTTCTCGACGTTGAACATGCGTTTGATAGAGTCTGGCATCCGGGACTGATATACAAACTCCGTAAGTTCCTACCGCCTACATACTTCCTCATTATCCGTTCCTACTTTACTGACAGATTCTTCAAAGTAAATCATAACAATGCTTTTTCATCTTTTTTTTCTCAGTTTGCTGGTGTTCCTCAAGGTAGTATCCTAGGTCCTATCCTTTATACAGTTTATACAGCTGACATCCCAACCCATTCCAACACTGTCATCACCACATATGCCGATGACACATATATCCTATCAGTCAATAACGATCCATCTATTGCATCCCAAACTCTTCAATCACACATCACAAGTATTGGAAAATGGTGTCAAAACTGGAAGATTAAAATAAACTCCAATAAATCCCATCAAATTACCTTTACTCTTCGTCGTAAACCTATGACTTCCTGTCCTACAGTATCCTTTAACAATACCCCACTTATCCCTGTTGACCAAATCCGATACCTAGGACTCCACCTTGACAAACGACTCACTTGGAACCCCCATACCAGACTGAAACGATTAGAAACCGCCCGACGTTTCCAACTACTCCAGCACTTACTAGACAAACGCTCTAAACTGCCAACTATTTACAAAAGATTCATATATATTACTATAATAAGGCATATTTGAACTTACGGGATCGAGCTTTGGGGCTCTACTAAACCATCAAATTCCTCTCGTATCCAATCCCTACAATCCAAAATCCTTCGTAAAATCCTTAATGCTCCCTACTTTGTCACAAATAAAATCATCCATAATGACCTTAATGTACATATGTTCCGATTTAGCTCAATCCAGATACCTTT